CCTGGACTGCAGTCCATTAGACTGTCCACTCGCTGTTTCCTGAACTTGGCTATAGGGGCTGGCACTGTGGTGCAGCAGATGGAGCCGTCACCTGACACTGGCATTCTGTAATGAGTACCAGTCCGAGTTTCCATTGCTCTACTTCTGATCCAGCTCCCTGCTAATGTGCCTAAGAAGGCAGTGGAACATGCTCCAAGATCTAGGAGCTCTGTCAGCCACAGAGGAGTCCCAGACGAAGCTCTGGCTCCTGGCTTTGCCCTGGTCCAGGCCTGGCCATTGCAGTCACTTGGGCATTGAACCAGTGGATGGGAAGTCTCTCTGTCTTTCTCTCAATAGCTCTGCCTTGCAAATAAGTGAATATTAAAAAAAAAATAATAGAAATTTTCCCTCCACCCCGGCCCCATGCAGGGCCCATCCTTATGGCCCTCGTGGGCCTGGGAGGGCTCCCCCACTCTGGGCTCCAGGACCCCACCTGGTATGGAAGTTCTGCACATTGACGTTGCGGTATGGGGCCGTCTTGCGCTGGCACCACAGGAGTAAGCCTTCCTTGGCCGAGGTTTCTGGCAGGGGACGGGGCAGGAGCATTAGCTGGGCAAGGGCCTGGGTGCCCTACCTCCCGACACCTCTCGTTCAGTGCTCACCCTCCACAGAGATGTCCTGGATGGCAAAGCGCAGGATGATGGTCCAGATCATGCCCAGGGTCATCTTGAGGTTCCCGTCGACAATCTCTGTGCGGCGGGGAGAGCCGGAAACCAGGCGCCTCAGCTCAGCTGCCCGGCCTCTCCCCCTGCCCTGCTCCTCTCTGCCCATCCCATGGCCAGCACCAAGAAACGTCCATGGTTATTCAAGGACTCAACAACCCCTGCTGGGTGCCAGGTGCTGTGCTGCCACGCACGTGAGGTTTGCATACGGAAGTGCACAGAAGTGTCTTGCCTGTGTTCAGGGAGCCCCTCCCACCCCCTCACTCCCCACCTGGGACCCCCTCCTCCTTCACCTTCAGCCCCAATAGACACCAGCTTCACCCCTTTACTAGCAATGAAGTCCAGGGCCTTGTTGACATTGGCGATCTTGTGGAAGCGCATTTTGCCCTTGTCTGGCCTGGGCAGCCTCTCTCCTGGATGGGAGTGGAGGGGTCAGAGGTCAGGGAGTCATGGGGTCTCAGGAGGCGTTCCCCTCCAGCATACCACCACGGCCACTGCTGCTCACCTGAAATCACCTCCAGGAGCAGCATGAGTTTGAGGCCGTTGCGGAAATCCTCCTCGATGTTCTCGATCTGGGTGCCTGCCTTGCGCAGGTGTGAGTTGCACCAGGCAGTGAAGGTCTGGGGGTGGGGTGGGGGCAGAGGGCAAGGCTCAGGCCCGATCTCAGAGCTTCAGGTCCTAGGTTCAAGTTCCCGCTCTCCCATGGACCTGCTGTGCACCCTGAACCAGCTCCCTTCTCCCCCGAGCTTTAGCATTCCCTACCCCACAACACCCAAGAGACCTGCAGCTGACCGTAAGTGCTGGCCGTGGGAAGGCCTGCACATGCTCCCAGCTGCCACTGCCTCTGTAGAATCTGGGTAGAAACACACCTGGAGGGCTCTGACCAAGGGACCACGCATCTGTGCTATCTAATCCCAGCCCAGTGGCCGCCAGGTGAACCCTAAGTATACAGGTCCTTGCTGGCCTCTGCAGGGGATCACTGAGCCCCCAGCCTGGCCTGGTGACTGGGCTGGGGCAGGGCCTGCTCCCCCTGAACCTGAGCCAGGCCTGTGGCCTCAGCCTCCAGCCGACATGGGGGTGGGGCAGGGAGTGGACAGGTGGTCCGAGGCCATGTGTCTGTGAAGCTGGCAGCCTGCCAAGCCTCGGACCCTGAGCGCTTGCCATGGCCAGAGAAGTCTTTGGCCAAGCCCACAGTTGCATTCCAAACTCCTCACTCTTCCTGCTCTGGGGTCAGACCCTTGTTCTGCCTGGAATGCTGGGCCTCAATGGCTTTCCGGGCACCCTCAGGAGCTGGCAGGGGAAGCTTGTGTTGTAAATACTTGAGGGGCTGCCCATTGCTGAAGGCAGAGAGTGAGCCTCCCATCTCTGCAGGTATGTAAGTGCATGCTGCATATCTAAGCTACCCAAGTGAAGGCAGCTGGAGTCTTAACCCTGGAGTGTCTCGGGCCCACACAGACCTAGAGGACTCTTAACGAGAGGTGGTCCCTGTCGGCCGTCAGAGTCATGTTAGTCTAAGACTTGGCAGGGAGCCGGGGAAAGAGGCTCCCGGAGAAGGCTACTATTTGGTTAGCACAATGATAAAAGGGCAGAAAAGGGTGATGCAGGCAGGACCAGCCCTGTTGGAGAGAGACAGGTGCTGTGGTCTCTCTAGGTCCCACTGGAATGGAGCTGGAGTGCAGGGGTGGAAGTGATAAGAAGCAGGCCGGAGGGGCAGCAGGGGCCAGGTCATGCACACTGCTGGATACTAAAGCCGGGGGAGTTTGAACTTGATCCCGAGGGTGAAGCGTGATTCTGGCAAGCCTGGGGGATACAGGAGGGAGGTGGCAGGAGCTGTGTTTTGGAGAACTCCTGTTGGTTTTGCAAGGTGGAAACAAATGGTTCAGCAGGACAGAGGGGAACAGGAGGCGGTGAGGGCTGGTACAGGGTAAGGGAGGAGGCCTGCCTGTAAGGGGTTCGGAGCAGGGGAGCATGGGCTAAAGCTGAGCCCAAGGCTGTTCATTTAATAATCAGCGTTGGACGAGAGACATGACCGGAATGTTGAGGTTCAGGGGTTTGCTGGCTGGATCCTGGAGCGGCCGGTGAATGAGCCAGCAGGGTGGGGACTGCGAGGAAGGATGTTCGGGACACAGTACACCAAGTGACAGGTGCAAGTTACCGACAGGTCTGTGTCCTGGAGGGGTATGCAGACCTGGGAGCTGCGAGAGGCCGGGACAGACAGGTGGGGGTGGGGATGGGAGCGGTCTCAGAGCAGCTGGGCACAGAGCAAGTGGCAGCTGGCGCCAGAGACAAGGGTGACATCACCGGGAGATTGTCGAACCCTCCCACCCCCTGTCCCAGAGGCACAGCCACGCTTGGAGACAGGTGCAGAGGAAACTTGTGTGGGGGAGGTATGAAACCCCAGTTACCCCAGCCAAGCCAGCTGAACCTCCCAGGCCCTGGGCTCATCACCTGCCAGCTCGTTCACCCTCCAGAAGCGCTCTGCTGGCCCTGTGCTTGAATGGGCTCCCCCCACATGACGAGCAGGGGTCCATGGTACCCACGGCGCTGTTCTCCCCTACTCCTGCCTGGCCTGCCACTCCCCAACTTTTTCTCACTCTAGCCCAGGTACTTTTCTTTCTTGGGAACCCAGATTTGGGAAAGCTTGGCAGTCAAGTTAGCTCAGGGAGGAATGGAGGGGAGCCCGGAGCACCCTACAAGGCAGGGCCTGGACAGCAGCTGCCCCTGTGGTCAGGGCCGGTCTCCAAGGTGCTGCCTCAGCGTAAAAGTGCCCATCTGGCTGAGGGGTCAGGTTACAGGTAAGGGAACCCTTGTCCCCTCCACCCCAGTGTGTTGGCCTTTCAGATGCCCTGGGGAGGGGTATCTTGGGACGGATTGGGGGTGGGGCGAGCAGTAAAGAGCCTCTCCTTGGGGACACAAATGACACATACGTGACTTGGCACCTGTCTGGGCTTCGGTTTGCTCAACTGTCACATGGACCAGAGTGAGGACCAATTCCTCTCTTGAAAGAATATGGTGGAGGGGGTGAGAGGGGCCCTCCCACCACCCTTCAATCTCAGAGACTATTTCTGGCCTGGCCATAAGCCCTGGGGAGGAAGGGGGCTCTTTATTCCCCCTGCCCTGAGAGGTAGGTCTGTCTGCCACTGCCTAACCCTTTTTAACCCAGAGCAGGTGGATGAGCCCCAGAAAGGAGACCCCAGGAGCTCTCCTCCGTATCCCAATCGGTCCCTTCCAGCCCTAGTTAGAGGACAGCAGAGGCCTGCGGGAAGGGCCTGGGCTGGGCAGTGGTCCCAACCGACAAGGCCTCGGTTTGTCTGCCAGCAAATGGGCCCACACTCACTTTGCGCTGCTGCTTCTCCCAGGCCGGGTCCAGCAGCAGGTCACGGTCCCAGTCTTCCTCCTGCTCCATGTACTCGCCACCCCCAGCGCCACCGGCCAAGGGCCCCAGCCCGGCCCCCAACCCCTCAGGCTGCATCACCATCATCATAGCGCTGGGGCTCTCCGCTCCGCAAACGCTGCGTGGCTCGCGGGCCGCATTAAGTAGGGCCCCAGTTCGGCCGGGGATCGGATTCGCGCTAAATATGGGGGAAGAGGGTGGGGCCGGATGGAGGCGCGGGCGCTGGGGTTGGGGAGCGGCTAGAGGCTGCCCTGGAGTTGGGGTGGGGAGGCTGGGGACTAATGCACAGGGTGTGTGTGGGTGCGTTGGGGTAGGTCTCCAGGGTTCGAGTCCCGGCTCCACCACTGGGGTGCTGTGGGACCTTGGACAAGCCGCGGAACCTCTCTTGCGTCCTCATCCACGCGTGGGACACCTTCCGCCACAGCAGGTGCCACTGGCCGACCTCACCGCACCGCGCTGGTGGGCCACAGACTCCCCGCCCACGGGCGCCGAACTGCTTCCAACGCTTGCTGAGGTAACCAAGAGTCACCCGAGCCCCAGGCGCGGCGCGGAGCCAGCTGGAGGCGCCGCCGCTGGGGCTATTAATACCCGAGTGGCCATGGGGTGTGTGGGGGGAATGTGCTGAGCCGGGAAACCCCGACGCCGCCCAGGCTGCAACTCAATCCTCCCAGCGCGCCGGCCCCGCAGGCCTCGGGGGCGGACGGGGACCAAGGCCAGCGGGGCGCGCGGGGCGCGCGGGGCGGCCACTAGGGGTGTCCCCAACTCTGCGGGCTCCGCGGGCCTGCAAGGTGGCGCCTGCTCCCTCGGCCGCCCAATCACGTGCCCGTATCTGCGGCCGCGGTCTCCGATCCCAGCTTCTATTGGTGGGAACAGACGTCCGTCAGCCGCCGTCCCCTCCCCAATACGGAAGCGGCGAGCCAGTGGGGGCTCCCTGGCCAGCGGCGTTCCAGGGCCATGGGGCTGCCGTGGGCGACCGCGAGCGCCGAGGGGGCTCCCGTGCGGCTGCCTCTGGTGCTCACGGCGCTGTGGGCCGCGGCCGTGGGCCTGGAGCTGGCTTACGTGCTGGTGCTGGGTCCGGGGCCTCCGCCGCTGGGCCCCCTGGCCAGGACCTTGCAGCTGGCGCTGGCCGCCTTCCAGCTGCTGAACCTGCTGGGCAACGTGGGGCTGTTTCTGCGCTCGGACCCCAGCATCCGCGGCGTGATGCTAGCTGGCCGCGGGCTGGGCCAGGGCTGGGCGTAAGTGGGGCTGGAGATCGGCGTGGGGGGGAGAAGCTGGAGGCTCCCTCTTGGGTGGAGTTGCGGGGCGACCCCCGGTGTTGGAGATATTAGAACCAGATTTTATGTTTGCATCGGAGGGAGTGGGAGGGGGGCGGTCTGGGGGTTGTTCTAGAACTCCTTAGCACCTGAGGCGGGAGAGCCAGAGCCCTACTGTGTGCGAGAATCTGACCTCCGGAACCTCCCTTCAGCCTGGCGGGGAGACAGGAGCTCTGCGAAATGAGTCGGTCGGTTGTCTAGAATGTTGGAAGGGGATAGCGACAGAAGCCAGAGTAGAGGCGGGAAAAGGGTGCAAGGTTGGGTTTTCCACGGGTTCCCCAAACACGAGTGAGCCCCCAGACACGAGGAGCATTGGAGGAGATGGGCACACGTGTTCATCACCTTAGTTGAATTATCTCGCCCTGCGTCTGGGAGGCATGAGGTGTCCCTGTACCCTTCAATAGGCAAAGCTGTCGTTTTGAATTGAAAAAAAGAAAAAACATGTTTAGCACAATTTAAGATATATGGTCCAGGTAGGCCTCATTGAGGAGGCCTTTGAGCAAAACCTTGGAGGTCATGGGGGGTTGGCCAGGGAGAGATGGACAGGTGACAGCAGGGCCCCTGAGGCACCACCTGGGAAGGCGTGCAGGAGTTGGCACCAAGGAAGGACATGGCAGGCTTTAAGAGCCTCGCAGTTTGGCTACTGGAGGAGGCTAGGCTGGGGTAGGGGTTGAGGGGGGCTGCAGGGACACCAGGCAGGAGCCAGAGGACCGTGTGGGTGGCCTGGGGTCCAGGTGGCCATGGTAGAGGTGACAGGACGCTGTTGGGAGCAGGAGAAAGGCCTCAAGGTGGGGACTGGACCCATACCACTGACACGCGCAGGGAGGGGCCTGGGACAGGCGCCACTCCCTGTGTGTACCTGTGCTGGTGGAGACTTGGAGGGGCCGGCGTCTCCTGCTTCCTCAGGATGGGTTCTTGGGGGCTGTGCTGCGGGAGGGGGGAGGTTCCTGATGCGGCTGCTCCCTCCTGCCCCCTGCAGGTACTGCCACCAGTGCCAGAGTCAGGTGCCACCACGGAGCGGGCACTGCTCGGCCTGCCGTGTGTGCATCCTGCGTCGGGACCATCACTGCCGCCTGCTGGACCGCTGCGTGGGCTTCCATAACTACCGGCCTTTCCTGTGCCTGCTGCTGCACGCCGCCGGCGTCCTCCTGCACATCTCAGTGCTGCTGGGCCCCGCGTTGGCTGCCCTGCTGCGGACCCAGGCGCCCCTGCACACCGCCGCCCTCCTTCTGCTTCCTTGGCTCATGCTGCTCACAGGTGGGGCTCCCTGGGTCAGCCCAGGCTGGGTGGGCGGTGGGGACCCAGCTCCGGGGGCGGGGGGAGCAAGTGAGAGAGGGTGGTGTGCAGGGTAGACAATCCAGGGCTTCAAGAGAAGTCAAGTGAACTCCAAAAAGTTTGTGTCAGGGTGTGGGGAGCGACGTGTCTGCTCCACGTTCAATTCCTGCCAGGATAGCTCCTCCACACTGCCCCCACCATGCTGCCTCGGTGACTGTTCTGCCCGCCTTCTCCACTGAGGCTCAACACCCCCTCCCTCCCTGCAGCCCAGCTCACCAGGGGTGCCCCTCCCTGTGCTCACCACAGCTCATGCCTAACCCTCCACGGCATTACTTCCCTTCATTTGACTTCCTTCTGCTACTCGCTGGTCCACACACCGGTCATAATCCCCATGTACCGGCTCCAAAACCACCTGGTCCCGGAGTCACCCTCTCTCAGCTCTCCTCACCCCCACGGTGGTCCATGTTGCAGACACCCAGCCCTCCTTCCTGCCTGTTCTGGCAGCACTCACGGATCTCCATGATAGGCCATGTTCATGGTTGCTGGCCCACACCATGTCTGCTCATCTTACTCTCTGTCTTTTTTTAAAGATTTATTTATTTTTATTGGAAAGTCAGATATATATACAGAGAGGAGGAGAGACAGAGAGGAAGATCTTCCATCCGATGATTCACTCCCCAAGAGACCGCAACAGCTGGAGCTGATCTGAAGCCAGGAGCTAGGTGCTTCTTCCGTGTCTCCCATGTGGTTGTAGGGTCCCAAGGACCCTTGACTGCTTTTGCAGGCCACAAGCAGGGAGCTGAATGGGAAGCAGGGCCAGCGGGATTAGAACTGGTGCCCATATAGGATTCCTAGCATTTACAAGGTGAGGACTACCACACTGGGCCCTTTCTTTCTCTCTCTTTTTAAAAATAAGCTGTATCGGACCCGGCGCGATGGCGCAGTGGTTAAGGTCCTCACCTTGCACGCCTGGGATCCCATATGGGCGCCAGTTTTAATCCCGCCAGCCCCGCTTCCCATCCAGCTCCCTGCCTGTGGCCCAGGAAAGCAGTCGAGGATGGCCCAAAGCTTTGGGAACCTGCACCCGCGTGGGAGACCTGGAAGAGGCTCCTGGTTCCGGATTGGCTCAGCTCCAGCCGTTGTGGCCGCCTAGGGAGTGAATCATTGGACGGAAGATCTTCCTCTCTGTCTCTCCTCTCTGTATATCCGCCTTTCCAATAAAAATAAAATAAATCTTTAAAAAAAAGATAAGCTGTCTCTATTTATCTGAAAGGCATAGTTACAGAGAGAGAGAAAGTTTCCATTGGCTGATTCACTTCCCTAAACGGACTCAACATCATGGCTGAAGCCAGGAACCAGGAGCTTCTTCCAGGTCTCCTGTGTGGGTGCAAGGGCCCAAAGACTTGAGCCATTCCATTGCTGCTTTCCCTGGAGCAAAAGCAAGGAGCAGGATAGGAAGTGGAGCAGGCAGGATTCGAACTAGCATCATTAGGAATACTAGTGCTGCAGGCAGTGGTTTTACAAGCTAAGCTATGGCACCAGCCCCATCCTATTCTCTGGTAAGCTTGCTCCTCCACTAGCTAACACTCAGACCTTCCGACTCTCCTCCAGGATCCATCATGGAGATAACAAGATGTACCTGTTAAAACCTGTGCCCCTGTCACTGAGCTTGGCCGAGTGTCCCAAGCCTCTGGGGGCTACTGCCTTCCTCCCTGATCAGATGCCTCGTGCGACCCTGTCAGCCCCAGACCCTCACCCTCAGGTCCCCTTCCCCTATCCCCACCACTCCTCCTCTTCCTTCTCGCTCTTCTGCCACCCACGTGCAAACTTCCCAAGGGACTTGCTTAGGCTCACAGCTACTGGCCCTCACCTCTCACTCATCCTACACCTGCTGCAGTGTGGCTCCTGCCCCGCCACCACACTGCCACGGGACGTGGGGCTCTAACTCAGCAGAATGCACAACACTCCGAGAGGTGTTGCCATGGCCCGACAGTTGAGCTGCTTTCATCCCATCCTGAAGTGCCTGGGTTAAAATCCCAGCTCAGCTCCTGCTGATGGGTGCCCTAGTGGTGACAGCCCAGGTACTTGCGTTCCTCCTGGATCGAGTTTCTGGTTCCTGGCTTCTGTCTGGCCCAGCCCAAGCTGTTCCCGGCATCTGGGTGGAAGTTCTGTCTGCCTGCTCTTGCCTCATAAATCATTTTTTTTTTAAAGATTGAGCTTACTTTATTTGAGAGACAGAGTTACAGAGGAGAGAGAGAAATGATCTTCTATGCATTGATGCACTCCCCAAATGACTGCAAAGGCTGGGGCTGGATCAGGCGCACATCAGGAGCCTGGAATGCAGCGGGGTCTCCCTCGTGGGTCCAGGGGCTCAAGCACTTGGGCCGTCACCCTCCACTGCTTTCCCACGTCCATCAGCAGGGAGCTGGAGCATTGGTAGAGCAGCAACTGGCACTCAGTCGGTGCCCATAAAGGACGCTGGTGCTGCAGTGGCAGCTCAGCTCACGGCACCATGGCTCCCTTGGAGTTCTGTTTGCCCCAGGAGATCTTTCAGGAGCGGGAAGCTGCCCATGCCCATAGCCCCGAGTGTCCTCCCCTCCGCCCTGCGCTTCTGCCTTCCCTTCTGGGTTCCTTTTTGCTTGCTTTGGTCTGATCTGCAAATGCTACCTCCCTGATGCTGTGTTCTGGTCACTCTTCTTGCTCTCCCCGCATTCTGACTGGTCCAGCCTTTGCCGTGCTCTCGGACTGGTGTGGGCACCTGGCAGATTGACCTCCAGACCCTCAGGGTCACGCCCAACTGTTTTGAGGTGAAATTCACACCGTGTCAGATGAACCCTTTCAATTGTTTTCAGACACACCATATAGTATTTTTTTGAATGTCTTGGTAGGCACCATCCCACCCCTGCCCCCTAACTCCCACCATCACTCCTCACCACACCTGGCTGCTGCCAATCCATCTCTGGACTTGCCTGTGTAGGACATTTCTTTTCTAAGATTTATTTTATTTTTATTGAAAAGTCAGATATACAGAGAGAAGGAAAGATAGAGAGGAAGGTCTTTCATTTGTTGATTCACTCCCCAAGCAGCTGCAGAGGCTGGAGCTGAGCTGATCCAAAGTGAGGAGCTTGGAGCTTCTGGGTCTCCCATGTGGGTGTAGGTTCCAAGGCTTTGTACCGTCCTCGACTGTTTTCCCAGGCCACAAGCAGGGAGCTGGATGGGCAGTGGGGCTGCCGGGATTAGAGCCGACACGTGGAAGAAGAGGACTTTAGCCACTAGGCTACCGTGCCAGGTCCATTTCTTGTAAATGGGACTGCCCAGCGTATCCCGCTGGGGTCTGTAGCATCCCATGGTTCCTGGTTGGGCAGGTGCCTGTTATCTCCTACTTAGGCCTAGGCACTGCACAATGGCGACCTAAGTAACAGAACTGACCTCTTCCAGGGAACTCCTCCTGCCCTGCCCCTGGTGTGTGGCAAGTGTCCAGCAATCAGGTTCCTGTGACCCTAGCCGCTAAGGACTGGAGTGTGGGGAGGATAGGGGATGGGCTGGGAGCGAGGCGGGCTGGCTTCTGCCCTCTGACTGCTCTGTTCTCTCCCCAGGCCGGGTGTCTCTGGCGCAGTTTGCTCTGGCCTTTGTGATGGACACGTGTGTGGCAGGGGCGCTGCTGTGTGTGGCCGGGCTGCTCTTCCACGGGACGCTGCTGCTGCGGGGCCAGACAACGTGGGAGTGGGCACGGGGCCAGCATGCCTACGACCTGGGCCCCAGCCTCAACCTGCAGGCGGCCCTGGGGCCCCGCTGGGCCCTGGTCTGGCTCTGGCCTTTCTTGGCTTCCCCATTGCCAGGGGATGGGGTCACCTTCCCCACAGCCACAGAGGGGGAACTTAGGGCTTCTTGACCCCCGGGAGAGCTGGCACTTCCTGGGCACTGGGGGTGTATGGCAGGGGCTGCACCTAGAACTCTCAGGGAGGAAGTTGGATTGGCCTGAGAGCTGCAGTGGGCATCGTCAGCTCTGCCTTGGCCGTGGCCTTGCCTCTGCCCACCGCCCCCTCCCCTCCCTCCTCACTCTCCAGTCTTTGCTGTGTTCCTGGTCCCTCCCTAAGCCGGGGCTGCTGCTTCTGGGTGCCCCGATTGTCTGAGGGCCCAGGGCTCTCTTCTGGCCTGGCTGCAGGGCTGGGGCAGTGAGGCAACCAACATTCCAGGGTCCCACACGTTGTTGTTAGAAGCACCTTTGAGGTGTGGCAGCCTCCTGTGGCCCCCCCACAGCTGCCCTGTCCATGTCGCAGCAGCTCTCCTGATGTCATGGTAAATATCCTGAGCATAAGTGACAGGCCGCACCGAGACCATGGGGCAGGAGGTGGAGCTGGGCAGGCCTGAGCCCAGGCCAGTGGCACGTGACGGCCCAGGGAGTGCGGGACCCTGCTTGACGTGGGTCTTTGCTCCCCCTGCACCTTGCACAGCTGAAGGGAGCAGTGCTCCTCAGAGCTCCTGGGGAACTGTTTCTGTAATATCATCGGCAGGGTGAAACGGCTGGGCAGAGAGGAGAGAGGGAGACACGAATGTGGCAAGGAGGCTGCTTCCTCTCAGCAGAGAATCAGGGGCCCCAGTGGGGATGCGTGAAGGTGCTGTCACCCTTCTGGGGTGAGGCAGAGTGGAGGATAAACTAGAGGTGAGCAGTTCCAGTTCCCAGGGGTGCTGGGGGGAAAGACTCTCGGCCCAAAATGGGGTTCAGTCCACAGGAAGGCCCTCCTGTGAATGGCAGGCATACCCTGGGACTCCTTTTAAAATTGGAGAGAGGTGTGCAGAGTTCACTCCCTAGGCACCTGCTTGAAGCCCCCAGAGCAGAGTCAGCCCAGTCTCCCCTTTGCTCCAGCCGTCTCCTGCTGCCTCCCCATGGTACACATGGGTCAGAAGCACCTGATATGACCAGACACCCTGATACAGAACGAGGGTGTCCTAACCCTTGGCTTCCCCTATGGCCACCCTCCCTCCCCCACTCCCAGGGCTCACGTAGCAGGTTCCATGCATGTGGGCCCGAGATGCCTGGCCCCTGGCGCTCACCCTGCTGCCTCCTCCCTTGCCTCCCCATTTCCCACGGGCTGTCTGCTAGTCCTCTCTGATTGAGGGAGGGGATACTGTCTTGTCCCGATTGTTCCTGTGTTTGCGTTCCTCTCACAGGATTGTACTGCTTCTGCATGTTTTGTGTTTTATATTTTATACAAACGATGAGTACACCTTGCCACTTCCCAGCTTGCCTCTGAGATGTGTCTAATCCTTATTCTGGAGCTACAGGGCATTCCTCCCTCGGGATGTCCGTCCTGTTGTGGAGTTCATGAAAATGTTTCGTGAACAGCATATAGAAGACTCTTAAGTGACTTATCTGGTCTCTTCCGCTTCTTCCGTTGACAACTCTACCACTGATGGGCGGTTCCATCTTCCGTCCAGGTGTTTACATCTCCTAACGGGCCCCCTGGCAAAGGTAAGATCACTACGCAGTGTGGCGCACAGGTAGCCGGAAGTACAGTCCTGCACCACTCAGTACACTTGTTGTGAATTCTTAATAAATGCCCTTTAAAGTGTAAAAAAAAAAAAAAAGTCCTTGAGGCAGAAAAAGATCTATCCGTGATCTACGCCCCAAATGGCTGCAACAGCTCGATCTTGGAGTCAAGGATGTCATTTAGGTCTCCCACGTCGGTGCCAATGGACCAAATGCTTGGGCCATTGTCCACTGCCTTCCCAGGTGCGTTAGCAGGAAGCTGGATCAGCAGCAGGGTCACCGGGACTCGGCCCGGAGCTCCGATCCAGGGTGCCTGTACGAAGGACGGGGTCTTCATCCGTGGGCCACAGCGCCAGGGGCTTGTCTTCAGGTTTTTTGGGATATTTTACTGTGAGGGTTTTCTTATTCTGCAGATTGATGCTTATCAGTTCTAGGAATTCTGCCATTTTGTTTTTAGTTTCCTGCAGGAATTCATATTAGATGTCCCCCACCCCTGCTCTTGAAGTATTTAATGGAACGGCAGTGTGATGGAGGGAAGACAAGGAGCAGGGCATCTTACATCCACTGGCTCATTCCCTAAAATGCTGACCACAGCCCTGATGGGGCCGGGCCAAAGCCAGGGACCATGGAGTTCCAGCTGGGTCTCCTCCATGGACGGCAGGGGCCCAAGGGTCTGCGTTATCCTCCGTTGCCTCTCAGTGCATTAGTGGGAAGCTGCATCAGAAGTAACAGGGCTGGTGCTACAACATGGTGGGTAAAGCCACTCCTGTGGTGCTGGTTCAAGTCCCAGCTACTCCACCTCTGATCCAGCTCCCTGACAATGGCCTGGGAGAGCAGTGGAGGCTGGCCCACGTGCTTGACCTCTAGCCATACTGGAGACCTGACAGAAGCTCCTGATTTGCTCAGCTCTGCCACTGCGGCCATTTGGGAACTGAACCAGTGGAAGGAAGATCTCGCTTCCTTTCTCTGTAACTCAGCCTTCCAAATAACTACATGTTTTTTTAAGGATTTATTTACTTTTATTGGAAAGGCAGATATACAGAGAGGAGGAGAGACAGAGAGGAAGACCTTCCGTCCAATGGTTCACTCTCCAAGTGACCGCAACAGCTGCAGTGGAGCTGATCTGAAACCAGGAGCCTGGAGCTCTTCCAGGTCTCCCACGTGGATGCAGGTTCCCAAGGCTTTCAGCCGTCCTCAACTGCTTTCCCAGGCCACAAGCAGGGAGCTGGATGGGAAGCAGGGCCGCCGGGGTTAGAACTGGTGACCATAGGGGATTCCGGCACATGCAAGGTGAGGACTTTAACCACTACACTATCATGCTGGACGCAAATAACTAGATTTTTAAAGAAAGTATATTTAGAAGAAAGCATTAAAAAAAAAATCCTGCCTCAAGATTAGGTATGAGCCTGACACGAACTTGTTGGAGTTTGAAGACAAGGCAGTGGTGTCTGCAAGAAAGCAACCTTCACCTCGGGTCTTTGCGACCCAAACAAGCAGGGTCTCATTAGTCCTAATAATTCAGTAAAGATGGCCCCTATGGACAGACTTCATAAAATGGGGTGGACAAGGGGCTCTGTGGAGCTCAGAAACCAGGGGATGGGGCCTATGCAAGGATTCCAAGAGGAAGCTCCCGGACAGCAGGTGTCCTGGCAGGCTGGGGTGAAATGTCCGGAACTGAGGGAGGAGAGGACAGCCAGCCACTGGCAGGTTGGAAAACCACGCACATGAAGATAACCTAAACAAGATTTTCCACGGGAAAAGGGACAGAAAGCAAAGAAAGTCATTTAATGACAACCCAACGCTAGGCTGTGTGGCAAGTTAGTCTCCTGCAGTCACCGGGATCTAATATAGATTTTCCTGAAGACTGGAGGGTGTAGTCACAGGAAACCCCACCCACTACCCAAAAGCAAGCAGTCCACAGCCAGGGCTGACCACAGCCAGGGCTGACCACAGCCAGGGCTGACCAGCAGGGGCAGCAGAAGCCGATGGCTGCTACAGGAAATGCGGGCTTGTTCACTGCTTTCCGCTGAGGCCCTACACTAATTAAATGCATATTTTACCACATTAAAAAGAGGCCAGCGCCCCCATCCTTGGTGTGCAGTGTCCTGGCGCTCTCACTGGCACATGCACTGGGTACCCATACTGCCCACATGCGCAGTTACACTTCCCAGCGGTCACCACACAATCCAGTTCTGCCTTAGTGCTGGCTGTGGTCTCCCATCAATACAAAAAACTGAGGCAAACCCACAAGAGACTTTGTTCTGAGTCACATGGTTTGTGGTTTGGCTGGCATGCAAAGGACTGCAGGTCATCCATGACCCGGCTCCCATGGCTCCCACCACGGCAACAAGGGGCCTGTCCCTTTCCTGGCAGCAGCATCCCCTTGCCCCACCTTGTCCTGACGTGCCTTGGTTGGCTCCACATCCCTGGCCTCATCTGGTCTGCTGGCTGGTGGCTGGGCAGCGCAGGGAGGACGGGCAGGGGGGTGATGTGGCCTGGGGCAGCAGCTGCAGTCTCCATCAAGCCTCACCTTCCCCTGGCCTGCTGGAGCTGGAGCTGAAGCAGGTTCAGGGTCAGTTTGGTTCTGTGGCCTTATTTTACATACTGGGGACACAGCAGCCCTCAGGAGCCTGTTGTTTCTGGCCAGGCAGGAACAGGTGGAGGTCCTCAGTGGGGAGGGGGCCTAGACACACCAGTCAGCAGCTCTGGGGGCACCCCATCTTCAGCTCCACTTAACACCTCCAGCCTGGGCCGTTCCGGCCACTTCTCACTGAGGCTGCTGCCTGGTGAATTTTCCATCTCGTGAACTTCCCACCCGGGGACTGATCTAGGCTCCCAGGGAAGAGAAGTTATCTCCATGGGCAGTCATGGCTTCCTGTGCCATATGCCACCTGCCTGGGCTCCAGAAGTGCCCCTCCTGAGTGCCCCTGGCCCTACTGCTGCCCATCTGGGTTGGCCCTCCCCCCCCGGGTGTGGGCACCTTGTCCTGTGGCTTTCAGCAGCTCTGGTGGAGGAAGCAACCATAGTATCCTGCAGACACCCTGCCCTCCTTTTCCATGGAGCTCTCAAGGTCTGAGCAGCAGCCCCTTCCTTGGCGAGATCAGAGCTGAGTTGGAAACCCGGAACCACAGGCAGTGACAAGGGAACTTGGTCTTATTGGAGAAAAGCTGACTCCCCAGGCCAGACCCTGGTCCGCCTTCGCTGGGCCCAAAGGGAGTGGCAAGTGAGAAGGGCTGGGTCACCCACATCACACTGTGACTGCTCCTGGCTCCTCCTTCAAACCTCGATGCAGCAGTTCCTGGTAAAGCTGGGAGGGTGCCAGCTGGTGGGTGCTCTTGGGGACAGAGCCTGGGTGGGCATGCAGCCTCCTGGGTGATCCCAGGCTGCCACAGCCGGTGGTCAGGGCGGTGGAAAGGGGTGCTGTCTCCCCAGCACACTGCTGAGTGAGGTGTATGCCCGGGGCTCCAGCCCTGCCAGGCTCAACAGGAGGGGTCTAGTGTGGCAGGCTTGGATTTTGTGGGGCTCAGGCGGCTGCCAGCCCCTCGCTCACAGGCATGTTGATGTGGGCACTTAGCAATGGTGCACTCTGGCCTTCTCGAAGCACCAGCACCTACAGAGGAGACATCAGTGGCAGTGGGCGGTGTGTCCCCATGACGACAACCAGACTACAGGGTGGGGTCCCTCCCATCCTCCCTCCAGGTGGCCCAGTGGCCTCTCACTTTGATGATGTCCGAGACGCCCTTGCTGCTTAGGCTCTCCACAAAGGTCTCCAGTGGGTAGCTGAGCCCTGGTACCAGCAAGGGGACCTGCATTTGGGGACAAAAGCCAGCCTGTCTGCGCTTGGCACTGGAGAGCATTTGAAGACTGCCCAGGCCCAGTGGTGCCCAGGGATGACTGGTCAGGCCACAGATGTGTGTGCGGAGGGGAACATCAAGGCTCCAGGGTCCTAGGGTGTGTCCATGATCAAATCCAGGCCTCAGGCTCCGTAAAGTCCACGCTATTCCTTGCTATTCATTTCCTGTTCAAGTCATTCTCTGCTTTTGGTCTCCCGGATCTGGGGCCCACTGTGCTGTCCACGCCTGTCCCCTATGACACATGTGTACAAACCCGCAGGCTGCATGCGAACGGTGTCTGTAGGCAGGACCTTGGGCAGGGTTTGGTCCTCAATAACGGCTAACGAGGCAGTGGGCTGGTCATCACAAGAGCATCGCACCTCTCCCAGGTCCCCTCGCCACCTGTGCCTCCTCATGACTCTGCAGTGCCCACCGCCAAGGCAGCCCTCACCGGGCATGGTCCTCACCCTTAGACTTCCCAGCCCTCATGACTATGTAGGAAACATTCTCTTCCTTATCCACAGCCAGCCTCAGGATGGAAACAGTCAACCCACACCCTTCTCTCTGGGCAGACCTCTGGGGTACGTGCAACAGGATCCCCAGGCCTGTGCTGGAGCTGCTAGGGCATGAGGTGGCCCCTCTGGGGAGGTGGAAGTGGGATCTAGGCTCAGGCTATCACCCAGCCCTTCCTCCCCAGAGCCAGGCTGGCTCAACGGTTGAGATGCCTTGCTGGGCCACAGCCTGGTCTGCAGCTGGAGCTGTGCTGCAGCTTGTCAGCCACGCCCACCCCCTCACCAGGACCTGAAGGGCCTGGCCGGCATCTAACCAAGGCCCTGCCTGACCTTCCCTGCTCCCCCTCCCAGCGAGGAAACCCCAGTACCTTGAAGAAGGCCCGGGGCAGGGCGTAGAGCACCTCGTTGTACAGGAAGCAGAGCAGCAGCCCCAGGATGGGCCGGGCGGTTGAGGTGTTCTGCAGGTGAAGTGTGAGCTTGAAGGTGGGGCCCAGGCCCTGGACCTGTGCAGGGGTGGGGAGGGGGAGAAGGCCTTGGGCACCATGGCCTGGGCTGGCCCTCAGCCTCTCTCCCTCCAACTGGCCAGATGCTGCATCCATCAGGCCCTCCAAGTGCCCACATGCGGAGAGGGGGTGAGGCTCGGCAGAGGCCCTGCAACCCTGCTCATCCCAGGGGGTTGCCCTGGTGCTCCCTTCCCGGAGCCTGGGCCACTGGCACCCTCCTTCCTCATACCACTGGGTTGCCCGTGACTGCTTTCTTCCTTGAAGAGAAACGAGCAACCCAGTTGGAGCCGGCAACAACCCAGGGGTCACATGGGGAAGGAGAGCAGGAGTCCCTGACCCTCCTCCCTCACCCCTGCACACAGCTCAGGATGCCCAGGGCAGAGGTCACAGGGCAGGCATTGCCCCCTGCCGCAGGCTCTGGGATAAACACTCCAGGAAGATCCCACTGTGCTGCTGACCCTAGGCCTGGCCTGTCAGAGGCACAGCACGGAGGGGGGAACTGGAGTGTCTGTCTCAGTGGTCAGCCCCGGAGAGCAGGAGCACAGCTGTCAGTCGGTCTGTGGGAATCGGAGAGGGCAGCTCGGGCTACGTGGACTTGACACTGGCCTTGGGGCTCTGCGGTATGGCTGGGGGAGCTCACCCACCTGCACTCTGGCCCTGCCCTCCTCTGCCCATGCCCCCCACCACTGTGCTCACCACAGCCAGCAGCTTGAGCGGCTCCCGGGCTGTGGCGGACACGGGGCTGAGGCTGCACTCAAGGGCTTGCACGTAGGCCCGGGCCGCCCGGAGGCGCAGCAGGTAGAGGTCAGTCTGGAAGGCCCGATGCATGGCTGAGGAGGGGAACATGAAGGCTGAGATGGGAGGCAGGCACGGGAGCATGGCTGCATCCAGGACAGAGAGAGGATAACGCGGAAGCAGGGCCTGCGGTGCCCCTGGACACACCAGGCCCACCCCTGCCTCCCCCCAGCACCTTGCTGCTCACAGACCTGAGGTTCCTTCACTGGCTCCCTCTGTTCTAAAAGCTGGTGGTGCTGTGGGCTTGGCCTTGGTCCCTTCTCAGCCACCACCTTCTTTCCCCGCGTGATCCAGCTCCTGTCCCAGGTGTGACCATCCCAGAGAGGAACAGCAGGAAGCAGTGGAGGCCAGGGGCTGCCTCACTCCCAAGTCCTTGGTGCCTGGGCTGGGCTGGGGACCTCCCCGACGTCAAGGGTAGGGAGTGGCCTGAGCAAGGCAGCCACGCCTGCCTCATCACGGGCACTCTGAATGAAGGAGCCCTTTGATCAGAACTGGAAGTGACAGCTGTCTGTATTCTAACTCATTCCTTACCCAGCCCCTCACCCTGAGCCAGAGTCAAGGCTGCAGGTGCCCATCCTGGGCATGGGGCCTGCCTGCTGGGCCAAGGTCTCTCACAGCTCAGGGCACCTGTGGGCACCAACCTACCTCGTACCACCCAGGGCAGGGGAGGAGGTGGCAGGAAGGAGTGGGGCGGGGGCCAGGTCTCACCAGTGCCAGCCTCGCGCTCTCGCAGTGTCTGATCCACATAGAGTCGGGTCTTGCGGGGTACGCTGAGCTTCATGGCTTGGGCTGGTGGGGGGCCCAGCTCACCGGCCCCCTCCCCAAACACCGCCGTTCGCTTTAGGATCTTGATCAGCAGGCCACCACCTAGGGAGGGACGGGTGGTCACAGATTCCTCCTGCCCAGTTCTGCCCCCCATCCCATCTCTTCCCCACTGACTCATCCACAGCCGCTTCTATGCATGCCTGTCTGCCTGAGGAGACTGCGTCTGCGCGGAAGTGTGTGCTCACGGTCTCCTAACGGCCATTCTTCCATCGGTTTAGTGTTTATTTGTGGCGTGCTGGGATGTTCCAGGCATCACAGTAGAGCCGGGGACGCTAGGCGTTGATACCCACCTGCTGAGGTGGGCCAGCTGGACTGGCCTCGCTCTCCATTCCTAGGTCTTCCCCTGCTTCTTGGCCACCCCTTTCCCCGCCTCCCTGCCACACCAGCCACAGTGCCCCTGCCCAGCCCGATGCCCTGTCACCTCGAGTAGTCATGATGAGAGTGTTGTCTTCCCGCCCGTAGCGGCCAAAGCAGAGACTGGTCACTGCGTCCTACGAGGAGATGGCCGAGTTTAGTTGGGATGTTATCTTGCAGAGGAAAGCGGGGTGGGCGTGAGGGCAGGGACCCACAAGTAGGAGATCAAGGAGGGTAGGAGGCTCGGCTGGGCGCTTCCTCTCCCCTCCCACCTCACGGCCACAGCCACAAGTGCAGGATAAACCAGCTTGGCGGGCCCTCACTCAGGCTGGACTCCCATAGGGTTTCACAGAACAATCTTTCTATTCTGGATCTTTCCTCCCAAGCTGTCCCCCCACCATGCTAGCTCTCAGGTTCACTTCCAAAAGTTTCTAGAAGCATAATTTTAAAAAAAAAACAAGTTGGTTGGGGGCTGGCACTGTGGCATAGCGGGTAAAACTATCACTCGTGGTGCTGGCATTCTATGTGGATAGTGGTTTGAGTCCCGACTGCTCCCTTCTAATCCAACTCTCTGCTAACGCACCCAGCAAAGCAGCAAATGATGGCTCAAAGTGCTTAGGCCCCTGCACCCATGGGGGAGACCCGGAAGCCCTTGGCTCCTGGCAGGCTCAGCTCATTATCGCAGCTGTTTGAGGAGTGAACCAACAAATGGAAGACGTCTCCCCCCTCGCTCTCTGTAATTTTGCCTTTCCAATTACTATATATATATTTTTTCCAAGAATGTTTTGAAAAGCCTCCACACATACATATGTACCTGAAAATTATTTTGGATCAAAATAATAAATATATTTTTGGAGATAGAATTGAGAGAGAAGGGCATTTCCTATCACTAAGCCAGTCTTCAAATCCCTGTAACACAAAGGGCTGGCTGAAGTCAAAAGTTCCAGCCAGTTCTCCCCCGTGGGTGGCTGGGGCTGCCTCCCAGGGGACACGCAGCAGCAGGAACCGAAAGTCAGCAGAGCCAGGACCTGAACCAGGCACTCCAGGGATTCCAAGCACAGCTTCCCTGCCGTGCCAAACGCGTGCCCCTGAGCTTAGCCCTGCAGTCCATTTGCCAGGGACTTTTAGAAGGATCTCCACGTTTATTCTAAGAACACAACAGAGTGACAGTTCCTACCCTCCTCCCCAAGGCCTTTGAGGCGCTCCGCAGCTCATCCCACCCATCTTTTTTGTCTCTCTTCTCTTCACTTACTTCATACAGCTGCTTTTAAAAGGTGTCGTTTCCCTGCGACAGTGCATGCACACATGCAATGCCATTTCTCTGATTTTCTTTAAATGCTGCTGGCTGTGACTGCACTGACAAACTTCCAGGATTCCTCATCATGAAGCCTCACGCTGCCCCTGGCCTGGAATGCGCTGCCCAGCTCGGCGGTCACATGCTCTCGCTCCAGGTCTCTGCCCTCTCACTCCCCAGGTCCCTCCGTCACCCTGCTTGGCCTCCATCTGCTTCGTATTCCAATGTGCGAACATGCACCTTGAACACAAGGCCGGAGTCACTCCGACCCCTGTCCCACGCACTGACTGGCATGTACGAGGTTCCTGGTACCACTTTTGGGTCAGAAGCAGCAGCCAGGACGGCCCCGGGGGAGGAGCCAGTGGCAGGTGCGGGAGGAGGGGCTCACCGGGGCTCGGATGATGTTGAGCAGGGCCTTGTCCCGGTAGATGCGGACCTCACCGTTGGCCAGCCCGGCCATGACAGCCTGCAGGCCTCGGGAACGCTGCTCCAGCAGGTTCATGGTCAGGATGGTTGCAGGCATCTGCACAGTCCACAGTCGCTTACCCTGGTGGGGAACAGTTGGTATCTTGGGGTGGTGGTGGAGAGTGGTTTCAGGGCTGCGAATGTGGAAGGAAGGGGTGGCTGGTGGCGCCAAGGGAAGGGGCGGCTGGGGACAGTGGGGGCCAGGGAAGATGCTGGCGCTGGCCAGGAGACATACCTTGTGGGTGAAGCCGTTCAGGCTGTCTTGGGTGGTGCCTGCCACGAAGACCTTGTGGACCCGCACAAGGCCCACGGGCTGGGCGTTCAGTTCAATGCAGTACCTGGGCAGCTTGGAGTCTCTGTGGGAGCATGGAACACCTGCCCAGGCTGGAAGGTACCCTCCTCCCTCCTCGACCCCTGGCTAAGCCCTGCAGGACTGACCCAGAAGGCTCCCACTGGCCCACTCCGCAGAGTGTGACTAACAGGTGTGCGTCCCCTGCTGTCCGCATGGGAGGGTCTGTGACAACCCAGCCTTGGATGGTGCTCTGAGAGCTTCCCTGAGACCTCGCCCACCAGCGCCAGTGGCGAGCTCATTCCTGAGAAGCAAAAAGGGGTACCCTGTGTAACGCATCTGTCTGTTCAGGGTCTCTCCACCTCAGTTTTGCCTTGTCCAGGATGTGGGAATAACTCCTGCCTCCCACCCACAGACAGCAGCCCATGAAACTCCGCTGCCCAGGCCAACCCATTCCCAACCTGGTGACCCTGAGAGCCTCCCATGGGTCCCCGAGCACCCACCCAGCAGTGTCTTTGTTTTAGCATCTCTTCTGATGAAAACCCTGGCATGACTTCCGGCAGCACTTCTGACGGAATCCAGAACCTCTACTGAGTCCTGCCAGGTCCTGCGTGAGCTGGTCCTGGCCCTCACCTGCCTCCTTGGCCACCCAGCCTAAGGAACACCTATCAGGGTCTCTCCCAGCTCGGTCGGCCCCAGCGTTCTGAACAACAGGTTCCTTCTCAAGTGGGCTCCACAGAGCACGGACTGAGCCTCCACCCTGCTGTCTGTTCCACATAGACTCTGGGCGTCCCTGCCCCATACTCATCCGACTTGCAGTGACACCATGGTCTGTCAGCTTCAACAGCTGTCTTCCCCGTGAGGGAAGGGACTGTGTTTGTTGGCACACTGATCAGCAAATACATTCCCAACAAATACAAGGACTAACCTAGGGCCTGGTACATAGCAGACACTTGGGGGTTCCTATGCAAAACTGATGCCTAAGGGAGTGTAATGCACTCTAGAAGGTGACACAGGAAACACAGGAGGCTTCTTTCTCCTCCCCTCTCTGTGCCACTCACGTATCACCCTGCACACTTGCTCCTGGCCCTGCCTCCAGCTCACGGGTCCCCAGACCCCGCACCCACCCTGCAAGCGCCCAGGTGTCTAAGATCTCCCTTGGGCTTCGAAGACCAGGGCAGGGGGCTACCTTCTCAGGACGTAGATGTTCCCATTGCGGCACGCAGCAGCCAGGCGGAAGTCCACATCAAACTGGCCTGAGGCCTCCAGGAAGACAGGCACCCCAGGGAGACTCATCTGTGAGGGAGAGGCTAGCACGCTCCCGTCCCTCTGTCCCTGGCTTGGCCAACCCAAAGCAGCTGCTCTGAGCCGGCTCCCCCCTCGCACCTGCCCGTTCCAGTTCAGACTTTCTGGATGCACCCTGAGAACGCACAGACATGCGTGCTGAGAGCACAGCACGCTGGTCTACTGTGGTGGTGTCTCTCACCAGAAACCGAAAGCTTCACACGCAAAGACAGGTGACAAAGAAACATATGACAGCGCATCTCCATCAGGGATGTCGCGTCGCCTTTGAAAAGACTCATATGGCTTTATAGAAATGGAAAAAGTGGGGCCAGTGTGGTGACACAGCAAACTAATCCTCCACTTGTGGCGCCAGCATCCCATTTGCGCACAAGTTTGAGTCCCATCTGCTCCACTTCCCATCCAGCACCCTGCTTGTGACCTCGGAGAGCAGTCCAGGACAGCCCAAAGCCTTGGGACCCTGCACCCGTGTGGGAGACCTGGAAGAAGCTCCTGGCTCCTAGGTTTGGATTGGCTCAGCTACAGCTGTTATGGCCACTTGGGGAGTGAGCCAGCTGATGGAGGATCTTTCTGTCTCTCCTCTCTGTAAAATCTGTCTTTTCAGTAAAAATAATTCTTAAAACAAAAGAATGGAAAGAGGAGTGATGCGAGGCTGTTTCTGGGGAGATGAACATTCGATGTTCCACAGGGAAGCGCCTGGCACTTCGGCAGCAGAAACCGTGGGTGCTGGGACTTGTGGGTACATTTTTTTTTTTAATTTATTTTCTTTCTTTGGATTTTGGCCGTCCTCCACTGCTTTCCCAGGCCACGAGCAGGAAGCTGGATGGGAAGCGGAGCAGCTGGAGCACAAACCAGTGCTCCCTGGGCTGCGGGCTCCACAGGTGGAGGACGAGCGCGTCACTGGGCTGTCCCCAGTACACACCTTTCTCTTTACGCTTATCTAAGGCCGAATTCTCTCTCCCTGCACCAGGCTCTAACGGGGGAGGACTGCAGCCTGGGCCCACAGCCGGAGTCCACACTGACCTTGGACAAGATAGTGAAGGCCTCGGAGTCGAGCACCAGCAGCTCCCTGTTCTCCGTGCCCAGCACCAGGCAGGACACAGCGTCTTCATCAGCCAGGTTCTTCTTCAAGGTGGTCATGGCTGTGATGACCGTCTGCAGGAGGACCCGGGGTCACCCAGAGAACCAACATACACAGCAGCCCCCTCCCACCACGTTCCCAGATGCTACAGATGAGAGGAGGGGCAGAGCAGGAGGAAGAGGAAGTGCAGGAGATGATGGATACTTCATGTGCCAAAGTGTGGACACGGACCCAAATTCCTCACAGTGGGACTGCAGGGGTTGGCAACACACAGCCATTACAAACACACCACACATGGGCCTAGCACAGTAGCTCAGTGGTTAAAGTCCACTCCCCGGGACCCCCTATGGGCATTGATTCTAATCCCGGCTTCGAATCCACTTCCAATCCAGCTTCCTGATTGTAGCCTGGGAAAGCAGTCGAGGACGGCCCAAGCCTTAGGACCCTGCACCCATGTGGGAGACCCAGAAGAGGCTCCGGGCTCCTGGCTTCAGTTTGGTGCAGCTTTGGCTATTGTGGTCACTTGGGGAGTGAGCCAACAGATGGAAGATCTTCCTCTCTGTCTTGCTTCCTCTCTGTATAACTGACTTCCAAATAAAAATAAAATCTTAAGAAAAAAAAAAAAACCACATACTTCAGAAGACACAACAAATTGGGGAATGGGGCTAGACCATGAGTTTCCCAACCATAAACTGATATGGCCCTGCCTTCCCCAGTGACACTTCTTAGGTATTTTTCCTTTGTTAAAGTAACAGAGAGCATGGGCCCGGCGCGGTGGCGCAAGTGGTTAAGGTCCTCGCCTTGCACGCCCAGGATCCCATATGGGCACCAGTTCTAATCCCGCCAGCCCCACTTCCTTTCCAGCTCCCTGCCTGTGGCCCGGGAAAGCAGTCGAGGACGGCCCAAAGCTTTGGGACCCTGCACCCGCGTGGGAGACCCGGAAGAGGCTCCTGGCTTCGGATCGGCATAGTATCGGCCATTGCGCTCACTTAGGGAGTGAATCATTGGACGGAAGATCTTCCTCTCTGTCTCTCCTCTCTGTATATCCGCCTTTCCAATAAAAAAATAAAAAAAAAAAGTAACAGAGAGCTGGTGAAGACACATTCCCGAAGGCACGCTCACGCACGGCACACCCGGCCCCAACGCGCAGGTGCTGGCCACTGCTGGACAGGGGCTCACCTGGCTGTGTTTACTGTCCCCACAGTGCTTGGTGCCTCTCTGACCTCCACCGTGGGAATGTACACTCTACGGGGGGACCAGAGGGAAAGCAAAAGGAGAGGGACGCTCCCCTGTCTGGATGCTCTCCCGCAGGAATGGGCTGAGCCTGACTTATATGGCAAAGCTGCACACTGAGTGACCATTGTTAAGATGAAAGGAAGCCATCTCGGGCTGCGCGAGGCACCAGGCTGAGCGGCCGCCTGGGAGGCCAGCACCCCAGAGTCAGGTCGTGGCTGCTCTGCTTCTGATCCAAGTCCCTGCACATGCCCGGCTCAAGTGGCTGGGTCCCTGCCTCCGTGTGGGAGACCCAGATGGAGCTCCAGGCTCCTGGCTCTGCCCGGGCCAGGTATAGCTGTGGCAGGCACTCAGGGAAGAAACCAGAAGGTGGGTGCTTTTCAAATAAATACATTAAAGATCTGTTCAAGCAAGGGGAATCATCCCAAGGCCGAGTGAAAGAAGTGACAGAAATGCGGACAGCACGGTTGTTCCTGCAGCCAGAACACACAGCTGGGGACGGTGACCAGCTCCCACACAGCGTCTCTCTCTGAAGATTCATTATTTATTCAAAAGCCAGGGTTGCAGAGAGAGGGAGAGACAGGAGAGAGAGAGAAAGGCTCCTCCATCTACTAGCTCACTCCTCAAATGGCCAGGCTGAATTCAGGACCCAGGAGCTTCTTTCGGATCTCTCGCATGGTGCAGACTTGGGCCATCTTCCACTGTTTTCCCAGGAAGGGAGCTGGTATGGAAGTGGAGCAGTTAGGACATGAACCCACATCCACGTGGGCCACCAGCACTGCAGGGAGCAGCTTAACGCACTGTGCAGCCGTGCTAGTCTCCTCCAAGCTGCGTCTTCTAAGCAGTAATTGCTTTACTCCTTGATCCTACAAAAGACGGCCCAGTGCTCGGGCCCCTGCCGCTCACATGGGAGACCTGGACGCAGCTCCAGGCTCCTGGGTTTGACCTGGCTCAGCCCTGGCTGTTACAGCCACCTGGAAAATGAACCAGGGAATAGAAGATTTCTCTCTTTGTGTTTCTCCCTCTGTCATTCCACCTTTCAAATAAAAATCCAATAAATAAATTGCAGAACAGCTCTTGAACTAAGAGACAATAATCCTGGCTAGAAGCCTCTAGAACTCATTAATGCAGGGATCATCGATAATGTGACTGACCTTATAGCCCAGAAAAACAGGAAGGGATTACCACTAATCATCTGGTGACCTGATGTGAATGCTTACGTAAACTGTGAGTGACAGAACCAATCATTAAAATAATGAAGGGAGCTAATAAAAGTTGTTAAAGACTCACACTCAAAATATTAAAAGTCCACCCCTAAGAGAAGTAGGATAGAAAGCAGATTAGAAAGGAGACGTGTGGGCCTGATGTGGTGGCCTAGGGGCTGGAGTTGTCACTTTGTATGTGCTGGGATCCCATATGCACACCGGTTCTAATCCCAGTGGCCCTGCCTTCCCAATAAAAATTAAAAGAAAAAGAAAGAACAAGTGCTGAACAGTGAGAACGAGAACTCTGGGTAGTGAAATTACAATCCTTCCTCTTGACTTCCCCAGTTCTCTGTAACAAGGCCTTTCATTCACCTTCAAAGAGAGGGAAGTTCAGGACTGGGCTGGCTATGAAACCACCACGGATGTTCCATATCTGTAAAGCAAGTCACTTTCACACAGGGCAATCCACGCGCAAGCAGCTCTCACCTGCCGCTTGATGGAGTTGGACTTGTGGCGGCTCACGAAGGCGTCCATCTCACTCAGCTCCAGCTGCAGGAACCTGGGCACCCGGAGAACAGGCTGCTGCTGCCCTGGGCTGGCAGTCCTCCTCCCTCCCACCCTGGCGTGCTGCGCCAGCCCCCAGGGCCCTCACCTGAGAGACTGCACAGACAGAGGCACTTCCGCTTTCTCCCTGCAAGGACAGTGGCCGACCCGGCAGGTTCAGGGGGCGGGCAGGGGCCTGGGCAGTCGGGGAGGGGATGGGGTGGATGGGCAGGTTCTCACCGGATGCCCTCCAGCATCTCCTTCAGGGTTAAGGGGTCAATCTGGTCCTGTGACAGCCCAGGGAAGGAAGGGGAGCCTGTGAGTGCTGGGGCCAGGCAGGGCACGCACCCCTGTGTCTCCAGGAATCCAGACTGGAGGCACGCACGTGTACACCACCCTCTGTGAGAATGGCTCTCCTGGCACCTTGCCTACACCCTTACCAGTCCTCCCCTACCACTAGCTTCTCACGGGTGGGCCAGCAAGTGCAGGGGGCTTCTGGGAGCCTGGCTGGGTACCCCATGAGGAGCCATTCCTTGGGGTCAAGCATGGCGCCCAGCCCGGAGGTGCCCCACTGCTACTGCCCATCAGTGATGAATGCCCCAAAAGCAGCCCACCTGGGGGCCCTGCCCCCTCCCTGAGTGTCTCTGGGACCCAGACCCCCCCAGGCACTCACCTCTTTGACTTGATTCCAAAGGTCTTGCTCCAAGGCATTGACCGGCAACAGAGGCAGGCTGAACTTGAAGTAGGGTCTGAGGTTCTTATACACATAGACACAAGGGCCGGAAGCAAGAGCGAGGGCTGGCATCCGGGGCTCATGCTGCTCCATGAGGAAGGCGGCAGCGGCAACCGGCAGGGCAGGCAGTGGGCTCTCGGTCAGCACGGCTGGCCCCTTGAGCACCTTCAGGCGGGGCTGCTGTGCCCCGGGGCCAAGGTCCCCGACCACCAGCTGTAGAGAGGGAGCAGCTCATCCGGGGCTCAGCTGCCAGAGACCTCCCTGACCTTTCCCTGGGCTCTACTGCTTCTCAAGTCCGTCTGCTTCCGTCCCAGCAGAAACCCTGGCCGTCCTGCTGACAAGCTAAGCTGCCTTAGGGAAAGTTGATCCCCTAGCTCCCAACTGTTAGGGTGAAGAACAGGGGACAGGGACTGGCAGAATCCAGGGCACGCTAGTGAGAAGATATTCGGTCCTGTGGAGTGGCTCACATAAGCAGGCTCCATTTCCACACCTTCACATCTTTGCTTCTCTGCTGACAGTCAACCTGATAACTCTCAAGCTCTCTCCTCCCCTTCCACCTTCCCTCGGGATTCCGACACCTGCCTTTGCCCAGGGACCATGTCCTGGGAACCAAAGTAACAGGCTCTGTTTAGCAGTTTCCCAAGCAATGAACACCCAGCATACTAGCACCCCATTACCTGGTGGCTCCAGATTGCCCTGAGCGGCTGTGGAGCCACCACGGAATCTCACTTTTGGGGACCCACTACCCTCACCGCCAAATAGTGTCAGGGTGGGTGGGGTGGGGTGGGGTGGGGACGCTAAATTCACTTACTTTGTACTCTCCGTCCCCGTGTAGGTCTGCCAGCGCTGGAAAACACCAACGGGCCATCCATTAACAGCCCCCTAACCCTCCAGGGGCTCCCTAGCATCCCCCAGCTCCAGCCCCTCAGCACCCCACGACTCACCCAGACAGGCGGAGAAGGTGTGGATGTTGGCCACAGGGTCGTAGTGCGCATCCAACCATTTGGAACTGGCCTCAGAGCTGGCGCAAAAAGACATGGGGAGCGAGTTGGCGGAGAGAAAAAGGAAGACGCGGAGCTGGGGGAGCGTGGGGTGCTGGGGAGGACACAGCCTGGATCCAGCTCCGTCAGCTGTGCCCCGAGCCTTGGATGCTCAGTCTAGCCCAGCGTCATCGGTGACCCGGTGGGAAAGGAGGCCCTTCATGCCCCGGCTTTCACCTTTCCCCTCGGCCGCCTTCGGAATCCGAGGAAGCAGTGGCCGCTGCAGCCGCCATCTTCGCAGGCGTCGTCAAGGCAACCGGCCCCGCCTCTGTCGCCGTGGGCAACACACAATCTAGCCCGGAATCGGGCACGGCGAGCGAGCACAGAGTTCCGCAGGCGAAGCTTTCCTCCGCCAAGCGTGTTGTGGGCACCAGTTGCACGGAGGCGATGCCGCCCTGCTGGGTCCACCCGGCCGAAGCCCGACACCCCACGCCTCTGCGGGCAGGGACAGCCTCGCGGCCTGGAGAGGGGTGTCAAGAAAGCTACCAGGTGAAAAAGCTGGTGCCTTAGACAAGGCTTAACTCGGGCGCCTTGTTTGTCCGGACAACGCAGAGGACCCCAGCAGGGGTACAAGGTTTCCCTGTTTTCAGACTTACAGGATCGTTCAAAATGCTAGAGAAGCCACAGGGGAGGAGCTCGGAGCGTGTGCGTCCTCACTGGGAGCACATGCCAAGGCAGGTGAATAGGGGCTGAAGATGACCAATCCCCAATTCCTTTCTCCCCTGGCCCGGATCCCACTCCCCTTGCCGGGAATCACACACACTGCAGAGATGGTGGTGGGGGTCGTTTCTAACCTTTATTTTCTGGTTATAAAAGTTTAACACAGGGAGGGCGCTGAATGTGAACTCAGGGCTGTGCATCAGGAAAGCCCTGTGGGATCCAGACCCGTTAGCTGGGAAACAGGGAGGAGCCGTCCTGGGGTTCCACACTCCGCCCCATGGCAGCATGGACAGCAATGATACGACAGACTTGGTGGAGGGGAAGTGCTTGGCAAACCGTAAAAAGATGTGTGTGGTCTGTGTCCCCACCCTTGGTGGGGGTAGCACCAGCAGGCTGAGCCCTGCCCAGCCCCTGGCACGCACACACCACCTGCAGCCTTCTGAGGGGTTGGGGCTCCAGCTGCACACCATTCCCCTCAAGCCTGGCAGGATGGGGCCTCACTGGGGCCCTTCCAGAATCGGGCATCGGCAGCGGCCAGCTGAGTGAGGATCGCCTCCAGCTGGGGTCCGTCCTCTGGGAAGCGCTCGGAGAAGGAGCGGATGAGGCCGGCGGCCGAAGCCTCGTACTCCAGCAGCTGCACCTCAGAACCTGCGGGAGCAGATGGCAGGGGGAGGAGAGGTTGGAGCTCAACGGCAGAGCAGGGGTGAACAGGGAGCGGAGTCCACTAGTGGCCACCATGACTGCGTGGGAGCCGCCGCTCTCAGCAGCCAAGCCCTGGGCTCCAGGCTCAGGGCCTTAACTCCGTCCTCACAGTGCTACAGCAAGGAGTTTGTTGAATGAATGGCTGCTGGAGCTGACCTTGTGGTGCAGCACGTTAGGCTGCCGGCACTGGTTCGGGTCCTGGCTGCTCAGTTTCCCATCCAGCTCTCCTGCTCAAGCGCCCCCAGCAGGAGAAGGCAGCAAGTACTTGGGTTCCGTCACCCATGTGGGAGACGCAGACCTCACCCAAATGTGGGGGGAAGATCTGTTTCTCCTGTTTTTCTGCCTCTGAAACAAATCTGTTTTTAAAAGATTTATTTTGTTTTTATTGGAAATTCACATATTACAGAGAAGAAGATCTTCCATCGATGATTCACTCCCCAAGCGGCCTCAATGGCCAGAGCTGAGCTGATCTGAAGCCAGGAGCCAGAAGTCTCTTCCAGGTCTCCCACACGGGTGCAGGGTCCCAAAACTTTGGGCTGTCCTCAAATATAAGAAGAGCTCCCGGCTTCGGATTGGCTCAGCACCGGCGTTGTGGTCGCTTGGGGAGTGAATCATCAGACGGAAGATCTTCCTCTCTGTTTCTCCTTCTCTCTGTATATCTGACTTTGTAATGAAAACAAAATAAATCTTAAAAAACAAACAAAAAAACCCAAAAGCCCTGCTACCTGTTTGCTTTCCTGCCTTCACTTCAGAAAAGCTTATGCCAGATGCCATGTCAGTCAACACAGAGACAGCCTCCTGTTCAGTTCAGCAGCTGCTTCCTTTCTGGATTATTCTAAGGCTCAGTTTATCTCTAGAGGGGAAGGCTTGCTATGGGTTTACTGAGCACAGCACTAACATGTTGCCTGGGGGTGTGGCAGGTGCCACATCTGCTCCCCACATCGTCACCTCCGACCAAGTTTATTCACCTTTGAAATGGACCTAATGCGGGGAGCCACTGCAGGCTCGTGCTAATCACGGCCCCCAACACTCCCCAACACACTGCTGCTGCTGTTCCTTCAAACGGTGCCCTGGGCTCTTGGCATCCTAAGCTATATGGGAACTAAAAGCAAGTCCGACGGCCCCAGTTCAAGTCCTGGCTCTGCAAATTGTGAAAGTGAAGCCCACAGCCCTGCCTCCCCAAGCCGCCAGCAGTTCGTCGACAGGAAGTGTTAACCGGGCGCACAGCACACAGGGGTCCTGATGAGTTAGCTGCATGTCATTGCCATATCATCACCATCACTCCTGCCTCTGAGGAGCCAACCTGTCCTTCAGTGCTGCTCCAGCCCCCACTGCCTCCCTCAGACACTTCCAGAAGCTCTCAGTGGCAGCCACTGTCTCTTCCTGTCAGGCATGGGGGACGTCTGGGCTCCATGCGGGCTGCTGGAGGTTGCTTGGCGAGATCATCTGATCTAGTTCTGCCCAGGTACACACAGGTGGGACTTGAAATTCCCTACGTCTAGAGTGCCTCGTTTCCCAGTTGAAAATTCTGTGGGGCCCAAGAATGGTGTCACAGATACCCCACGGCCTGGGGTTCCCCCATCCCCACCCCCGCTCCAGGTGTTCAAGGCTCTGTCTCATTCTTTGGGCTGTCATGCTTTGCTTGTGCAATGATTTGTTGCCATATCTTGTCGTCCCTGACAGGCCATGAAATATCTGCAAGGAGGTCCTGGGTCCTCTTCTCTGCTCAGCCCCCAGTGGGTCATGCAGGCAGGGCATGCAGGCAGGGCAGGACCTGGTAAAGCCAGCTGGCAAGCCCCCGGGGCAACTGCTGTGCGAGCAGGGTCCATGTTGTCATGGAGACACACCAGCAATAGGAGCAGCATGATGAATGTGCCAAGAAAATGACCGTGAAGGGCTACGCTGCTGGCGGCTGAGGGGTCAGGAGCACACCTCAAGGGCCATGCCTCTTGGCAGGACCTGGAATGGCGAGCAGCCGACATGCAGACCTGCAGGGAGACAGGCGGGTCCGAGGGAGCCGCTGGCTCCAACCTGTCACAGGAGGCGAGTGAGCTCAGTGGACCACGTGGATGGAAGGTCCATCGGGTCCAATAGCATGCGGACAGGGTCAGAATGTCCCGGAAACGGAATGGTCATTTGGGAAGGCAGGAGGAAGATGGGACCACTGATTCAAGTTCATCCCTGGGTTCCGCTGGGCCTGCTGAGTCCCAGCTTGTGGCCTGACCTGACCTTGTGCGTGGGCACTTGCTGGGCCTCAGCGTCCGGATCCAGCCCCAGCAGCCCAGCAGGCTCCGTGTGCGCTTGTGCGTGTGTGTGTGTGTAGGCGGCGGAGGCCTCGGCTTGAGGTCTGGCGCGGGAAGGCCCCACAGCACAGGAGGGCGGCCGGCAGGGGGCGCCCCAGGCAGTGTCTCCGGAGCCCCAGGTGCCCTCCCTGTGCCCTCACCCAAGGGCCCCGGGCTTCTCTACCTTCCAGGCGGGTGTTGGGCTGAACAATGAGCTTGCGGGCCTCCTTGCGCAGGAGCACCGTGTCCCGGAGGGTGAGGAAGCACTCGGGAGGCTCATCGGTGACCGCGGCGTAGCCCTCGTACAGGGCTCTTCCGCCCGCCACGTCCCCCGTGGACTTCAACACCTAGGGCAGGGAGAGAGAGCCGGTGTCTGGGAGCCTAGGCTAGAACTCAGGAGCTCCGCCCGCGATGGTGTTAAGGGCTGGCTAAGTCATGGGAGCCCCTCCCCTGGGAACAGAACTGAGGCCTTTCCGAGGAGCCCCAAACACGAATACTCCCAGCCTCTGCCAGTTTGGATAATGTGAGGTAGGCCGAGAGCGCGGCTGCATTTGGGATTCCTGGCCGAGGCTTCCTGGCTGGCTGTGCGGTTGGCTTTTTCCAGGGGCTGATCCAGGAAAACGACCCCCTAAACGCCCATTTTCTTTCAAATCATTGCCAAGACTGTGGCATGGAATGGCCTCTCCGGCACGGAGACCCAGCTCCCAGAAGCTGCCAGGAAGCTCCATGCCAACTGGACATCAGCTGCTCAAGGCTGGCAGGAGCTGGAATTTGATCCCTCTGTCGAACCACTGATTGTTGTTATTAATAAAGTGTTGGGGGGAAGGGAGGGCATTGTGGTGGTATAGCCAGCTACTCCTCCGCCTGTGGTGCTGACATCCCATATGGGTGCTAATTCAAGTCCTGGCTGCTCCACTTCTGACCAGCTCCCTTCTAATAGCTTGGGAAAGCACCAGAGATGGGTCGAGGCCTGTTGCGTCTCTTAACCCATGTGGGAGACTGGGAAGAAATTCCTGGCTACGGGGTTTGGACCAGCCCAGATCTGGCCATTGCAGCCGTTTGCAGAATGAACCAGCAGATGGAAGATCTCTTTGTCTCTCCCTCTCTCTCACTCTGTAACTCTGACTTTCAAATAAAATAAATCTTTAGGGGGAAAAAAAAACCCCAAAAGTTTGTGGAATAATTTTAGATCTAGAGAAAGGTGGAAAGGTAGCAGCCCAGCCCAGCTTCCCGTTGCTAACTTACACAACTCTTACTCCTCAGCCATGGCTGTCAGATGCCAGGGGTTTTCACCTTCTGGGATCCAATCCATCACACTGTTTTGCAGTGACTGGCTTATAATTTCTAACTTTATTTTACTTTAATGGCCAGAACACATGATCATTTATGAAAAAATGGCAAATTTGGTAAGTCACACGCAGGAGGCCAAGGCAGGCAAGCGTTTCTTTGTGTGACTTAGTGTGTAGATTAGAGGCCAGGCCCGGCAGAGGCTCAGACCATGTGCCCACCCACTGGGCTCCCTCCCTATGCTGTTCCCTTTCGTCTTCGTGAAGTGAGACAGATCTAAGCCATCGACAGGTGGGGGCCCAGAGAGGCGACAACTGCTTCTGGCTGGTTCCTTCTTGATATTTCATGCCAGCTCCAGTAACACCTCCTCCACGAAGCCTCCTCCACGAGCTCGGGTGGCCCTGCACCCTGTTCCCCTCCAGGCACACCCGCCCGTCATGTGGTTGCATTGGCTGTCTCCAGCTGGCACGCTTTTCCCCGCTGTGATGGGCCTTAGCCTGCCATTCCCCAACACGGGCTGTGAGACGTGTGGAATGGATGAAGGAACTGACCCGGGAGGCCACAAGGCTGTGTTAACAGGGTTGGAGGGGGGAATACAGACATGGGGGGGGCAGTCCAAGGGGACCCACTTACCTGCAGCCTCCGCAGGAACCGTTCTAGGGCGGGCCTGCCCACCGACCGGATCTTGTTCCGGTCCAGGCGCACCCGGGCATCCGGGCGTCCATCGGCACCTGTGGTGGGGGTGACGGTAACGAGGCCCTCGCCGGCCTCCAGCAGGACCCTCAGGATCACAAAGCGGGCCTGCATGTGGGCCTGTAGGGCGGATACGGGGACAGGGGAGTTCACATGGCCACCCCGTCTTTGGGCACCCTGCCAGCCCTTTCCTGCCTGCCTCCTTCCAAAGTTGCCCAGAGTGGCCGACGGTAAGGCCCCACCCCATGCTATGTCACTCATCCTGCTTCCTGCTGTCCCACCCTGGGGGGCCCCTCTCTGCCAGCACCCCGCGTGCTTTCTCCTGCCCAGTCTTGTGGGTGCTCCTCAAGAATGATGCCACTGGGCACCGCCAGCCCCCATTGACCAACAGAGGCCCAGAGGGGAGAAGGGACTAGCTCAGGGTCACACAGCTGGGAAAAGCAGAGCCAGGCCCCAGACCCAGCTTCCCAGACAAACATGAGTGCATCTGACGATATCACAATGCTTCTTCAAGCCACACTGATGTGTGTTTATAGAAAAAGAATCTCTCTTGCTTTCCCTCTTTGCAGGACGCACATGGGAACTGGGCAGCCCAGCTGGTGGGCTCAGGGGCTGTATGCAAGCTGTTCTGCTGCTCACCAGGAACTTTCTGGAACCATACCACTCGCCAAACACCTGAAGCTTCCCTACAGTTGGTCCTGGTACCAGTTAATTCCCTGGAGTGTACTTAGTGTATGCACAGCACAAAATGGGCTGCTGGTGGGGGGAGAAAAATTATGCCCTCTGACACCCCTACATGTCAGGGAGGGAGGGAGAAGACCCACTTCACAGACAAGGGACACTGAGGCAGACTCACGATAGTGATGGGATTTGGCCTGGCATACTTTGGTGCCCAGGATTTGGCCCAGTTCACCTACGGGCAACCCTGGGGTCCCATCCTCACACCCAGCCTCCCCTTTGCCTGGCCCCTGCACCTGTCGCCAGTTGGAGGCCTCAGGGGTATAGAACTCCAGAGCCAGCAGCCCGGCCCGAACCATGTTGAGCCAGTTCACATAGATCACGTCTTCCGCATCAGCTCCCTTGAAGCCAAAGATCCTGGAATGACAGTGACAGGAGGGTCAGAGGAGAAGCCGATGGCGGAGTAGTGGGCGTGCACCTCCCAGCCCACTGCTCCTACTCCAGCACTTGAGGGTTGAGGCAGAGGTAGAGGCCCACGCTCTCGGCCCGGCACTCTTCGTAGCTTGAGGCGATGTTGCTGAACTTGCTGTCCCAGGTCTCGCCGCTGCGGTACCAGCTCTGGATCTGGGAGAAGAGCCCCGGGGAAACCGGCTTAGGGGCGGGGTGGTTCTGCCAACCCCTCCCGTACCCGCCTCCCCTGCATGCTGGCTGCTCTCACCCGCTCCCCGGTCTCCGGATTGACCACTGTCTCCTGGTCAAAGTTCAGTGCTCCTTTCTCATCCTGCAGGAAGGTCAGGCACACAGAGTTGAGTGAGGGACAGCGGGGTAGCGGGGGGTCCCATCCCAGTCCCGGAACTGAGAAGTGACTCGGGACGGTGAGGCTGGCAAGCCCAGGGCCTGGGACGCCACGGCCTTCTCTGAGCCTGCCAGCTCCCTACTTACAGCACAGAAAGGAATACGGAAGGGCACACTAGGAGGGGCCCCTGGTCACAGACAGACCTACACTTGGGTGGATGTTGGGCACAGCAGTGAAGACATGTCTAGGCACCCACATCCCAAACTCCGAGTGTCTGGTTCAAGTCCCCGCTCTGCCTCCAAGTCCAGCACCCCCCCAGTGTGCACACCAGGGGCAGCAGGTGACGGCTTAAACACTGCCACCCATATGGAGACTCGGACGGTGTTTCAGGCTCCTGGCTTTGGCCTGGCCCAGCCCTGGCTGTTGCAGACATTTGTACATCAGATGGTGGAAGACTTTCCCCCATCTCTCAATAATAAATCAGAACCCACAAGTACCACAGTGTCTCTTAACGGGAACAGCCATGCGCCAAGTACCTGGCGTGGGCCAGGAACCCCATCAACACAAGAGCCAACCTGGGCCTAATGCGGATAACATACACGGCAGGGAGGTCACCAGCTGGACAAGGCACCCACCAGGCTGTTGTCAGCAGGAAGGGGCAGCTCTGAGAAGCAGCTTCCCACCGCCATGATACCCAGAAATTCCGGGCCAGGGAAGCAGCACCATGAGGACAAAGTGCCGCAGCCTCAGCACAGGGCACATGCGTAACTCAGCCCAGTCTCTGCCAGAGGCTATGCCCACCCAGACCCTGAGCACTGGCTCTGCCTCAAGGAATGGGGGCAGCAGCTGCGGCCCCCAGAACCCCCCATACACCAGTGGGCTCATCAGAGCTCTCTCCCTGCTGGCAGGGTCATTTCCTCACCACCCCAGAGCCCGCAGAGGGCTGGGGCCACTACACCCCAGGTGGAGGCAGAGGGAGCCCATACCTCCAGTACCACCACTGTTGGAGCCTTCTCACCTGCACGAAGAGCTTGCCACTGCCATGGCCCAGCAGCTCGTGCAGCCCGACCTGCACGTCAAAGGAGGGCCCCTTCCAGCGGATGTAGAGGTCCTGTCGGGACAAGTCAGGGGACCCCTCTCTGTCTGCTGTCCGCCCAGGCTGACCACAGGGCTGGCCATGGCGCACAGTCTCCCCGCCGCAGTGGCATAACCCAGTGGCCCAGCCAGGACGGAAGCTGCACTCTCCCCTTGGCAGTTCTTGAGCCAGAACTCTGAGGCCTGGCCCTGCGCAGCCTGCCCACCTTGTCGTCCTCTTCCAGAAAGGTGAGTTTTTCCCGCTGCGTGGTGTAGGCCACGGCCAGCACATTTCCCAGTGACACGTTCTTGAAGCCTTCAGTCTGCCTCAGGTCATCGTCTGGGGGTCAGGGAGAAGGGGCAAAGGTCACAGATAAAACAGAGGGCTGGGAGGGGCACGGAGCAGGGGATGCGTGGGGGAGGGGAAGACACGGAGGAAGGAAGCTCACAGTTGGGGATGTTGATGCCGGCGGGGATCCCCGAGCCCGCGAAGGTGAGGACGTCCAGGGAGGTGAAGTCGGGGGTGAGGAACTTGTCCTTCTCGAAGGCGGGTGGCCAGGGCAGCTCCTTCAGCAGCTGCTCCGCGCTGGCCACCAGCCGCTCAAACTTGGCACTCATGGCTTTGTTCACCATAGCCACGAAGCCTGTGGGGACGGCAGAAGCCATGGAGGGGGCATCAGGCCTGGTCCCACCCCTGCCATGCATGTGTGCCATGCCTCCTGGGCACAGCTGCCCCGTCGGGGACAGCAGGAATCCTGCCGCGTTGGGCCCTGGGCAGGAGAGCTCGCAGGTGGGTGGCCTGGCCTACTCTTCCTCGGGCCCCTGGGGGATGCTCCTCCCAGGTTCGCTCCTGGGATGGATGACTGTTCATGTCAATCACTCTTCCAGCCTCCAAATGCAGCAGCCTGTGTTCATCGCCTCCCATCTGGCCAAAGCTAAGGGCACTCAGCCCGAGGTCACACACCTAGGGAGCCAGGCCAGCCTTGGGAACTTTCGCAACAGTCTGCCTGGAGCCTGGGCCCTGCACCTGCTGGCTGTGGCCCAGGTCCCACTCAGGGCTGTCATGCGTGGATCCAAATACTGCTAGCATGGGGATATCTGAACAACGGTCAGCTTTGCGTCACTGCGTCTGGGACACAGCACATAAGGTTAATATTTACCACAGCTGCTACTGTTACTATGCTCATTGGCTGGTAGGAGGAAGGAGAGCCCTGGATCGGGGGTGGGTAGCCTGAACTTGGACCAGGGAAAAGAGACGCTGTCCCCAACCTGCGTGCAGCAGAAGTTACCTTCAAACTCTCCCCGGGAACCGAAGGGGTCACGATAGCTCTCGATGAACCCGATGTAACTAGAGAGGGGAGAGAACTCGGATGCAGCAGGGGTGGACAGGAGGGGCTGGGGCTAGAGGCCGGGACCTCACCTCTCCACGATGGGGGCCTTGTCCTGGATCCAGAAGCGGGAGCCCCGCTTGTGGGCCTCGATGGAGCCCTGCGTGAAGCTCTCCATGTACTGGGCCAGCATCTGCTCCTGCTGGGTGTTGGCTGCGTATGCCTGGCAAAGTGGGAGGAGGGAAGTCCTGTCAGTCAGCTGCAGGCCTCCTGGGCTGCTCCAGGATCGGGGAGAGGGGTCCCCCCGACACACACATAAAGCCCCCCCAAGCCCCCACAGCTGCAGCCAACACTACCTTGGCATTCTCCAGCTGCTCTACCACCTTCTGGAGGATGGGGCTGTAGTCACCCCGGGTCACCCGGAAATGGCTGCCCCGGAACTCATAGCTCTTCAGCTTGGAGGCCACATCCGAGTCGGGAGAAGGCTCTGGGGGAAAGGCCGGCAGGAGGTACCTCAGCAGGCTTCCGACCCCAGCCTGCAGGTTCTAAGATCGTCAGTGGCTCCCCAGCACACTGAGGGGTGAGGATAAAATGGCCAGGTGACACGCTTGGTTCCAGGTGCTTTATAGGATTAGCTTGTCAATGCCCACCCCAACTCTCCATTTTATAGATGGGGACTCTGAGGCACAAGAGGGCACGTGGGCCACAGGAGGCCAGCCAGGATTGAAACCGAGAGGAACAGATTGTATCTTAAAAGACGGTCGCGGGGCATAGTTTGTTAAGCTTCTGCCTGTAGAGCCAACACCCCACATGGGCACTGGTTTAAGTTCCCATCCAGCTCTGGGGAAGTAGTGGAGGAGGACCCCAGTGCTTAGGCCCTGCACCCACGTGGCAGACGCCCAAGGCACTCCAGCCTCCCAGCTTCAGACCAGCTCAGGGCCGGCTGTTGTGGCCATCTGAGAAGTGAACCAGCAGATGGAAAGATCTGTCTCTCCCTAACTTTGCCTTTCAAAAAAATAAGTCAATCTTACACAAGCAAACAGACCAAAAAAAAAAAAAAAAAAAGACAGCCACTTCCCTGGTGAAACTGGAACTGGGGAGCTTGGGCGTGGCTGTGAGCCCAGGAGGGCAGAGGCCACACGACACCAACACGCCATCATACCCCGTGTACCGTATTTGCTTTGTGGATTTTAAAGTTATTTGTGACACAGATGGGGTAAAATGAGAGTGTTTACACCTGCTTCACTTCCTAAGCGCCTGTCATGGCCGAGCCAGCTGGGGCCAATCTCTAATGTCCTTGGACACTCCTGTCCCACTGGCCTCACGGCACAATGTCCCTCCTAGAAGGAAGGGCTGACCTCGTCCCTTGCCACCTGGCTCCAGGGTGGACTTGAGACCAGGTGGGGACCAACAAAGCGTGCTCCTCGCCTGCCTGTGGGGAAGGAAACAGAAAAACCAGAAGCAGTGGCAGGCCCCAGGCATGGAGACCTGGGAGAGCAGGGCCCTCGTCCAGTGGGAGCAGCGGGGCTGGGGGCTCAGGAGTGGAGGGGCGAGGGCCCCGTGGGAGTCCAGGGCCGCAGCTGACCTGCGCTCAGCACCGACGCCAGCCGCACCTCGTAGTGGGGCTTCCCGTCCTCGTCAAGTTCCTTGAAGAGCCGCGTGTTGTAGGCACTGAGGTTCTGGAAGAGTTGGGGGCCAGTGAGGACCAGAGGGGGGATGGCACACTGAGGGGGAGAGAGGTCAGCCTGGGGAAAAGCGCCTCCCGCCCCCCACTGACTTGGCGTGGGCAGCAGTGGGCAGGCCGGGCCAGCTCTCCCACTCTGCTCCACGGGCCAACGGTTGGGTCCCAGGTGAGCCCAGGAACGGGTGCTGGGGTGGGGGTGGGGCAGGACTCCCACCTGCGAGTCCAGGAAGTCTTGGGCCAGTTTGGCGTCCTCCATGGTACAGTCCCCGGAAAAGTAGGTGGTGATTCCCTGTCAGGGAGCAGGGAGAGGCTGGAGGTGGCAGGAGGGGCTGGCAAAGCCCTCTGAGGGCTTCCTGTACCTCTTCTCGGCAGCCTCAGGACACAGGAAGCCAGCGACCAGTCCCCTGCCCCTCCCCAGTATCCTGGGATGTCAGCTTCAGAAGGGGCCAGGAGACACTGTGTCTGTCCTGATTCCCATTTCACAGGGACACGACTGAGGCCAGCTGGGCAGAGTGGCTGGGCCTTGACAAGCATAAGGTAGGGCCTGCTGCCTACCCCTGCCTCCAGCCCTGAGGCCCTGGGAGGATGCCTTCTCCCGCCCACGCACTTGGTACCTCACCTCCTTCCCCAGCCCTAGGTGCCGAAGCCTTGGTGCCAAAGAGAACATGAGCTCGCCGCAGGTCTGCCACAGGCCCCTGACTTCTTCAGGGTGCTGCTGGGCCGCCTTGCTTCCCAGGATCACCCGCTCCAGCTTCTCCTGCAGGGGAAGGAGGCTGTTGGTGGGGGCAGCACCGCACAAACTCACCCTCCAGAGCATCCCTCCCAGCTCCACGTCCAAAGACTCCAGCCACCCTCCCAACCCAACCCTGGGGTCTCCACGGAAGATCCCAGGCCAGGTGCTCCACGGTGGCGTTCAGGCATTGACCTCGGGTTCCATGGTGAGGGGCTGCGGGGCAGGGACTTCATCTGACTCTGGTCTGGAAGTGGGGCCTTTGGGAGGTGACTAGGGTTGCAGAAGGCCAGCAGGGTGACCCTGAGAAGGGACAGGTCTCATCCCATCATGCCCTGTGCCACCTCAGCAAGAAGGCCACCCCTAGATGCAGGTCCTCAACCCTGAGCCAGAACCATGAGCCAAAGCAGACCTATATTCTTCACTGAGTCACACAGCCTCAAGTATTTCATTATAGCAACAAGGATGGACCGATACACCTTCGTTCCTCCCCACTCCACCCCTTGAAGATGAGGAGGTTCCACTCTCCCAGACACCCCAGCTTCCCACGGCCACATTCCGCCCTGATCCGAGCCCTGGGTCAGCACCATCCCAGGTGCTTGTTCATCCACAAGGAGCCTGCCCACACTCAGTGTCATGGTGTGCTGGTGGCTGGCACCCCCTAACTCTGGGCTCCCTCTGCCATCCTTACCCCCACTCCACCAGGCCCCTTCTCCCTGTCCTCCTCAACTTCCCCTCACCTTACCTTGGGCAGGTTGGGAACAAACTTGGTGTCGCCAAAAGATTTGTAGTTGCCCATGTTGGAGAAGACGCCCGCTGCATAGACCAGGAATGCCTGAGAGAGGAGACAGGCATCAGAGACAGGAAGTACAGCCCGCTTCTCCCACCCCAGGCCTCAAAGACCAGAGCTGAGTGGATCCAGAACTGTGAGCCAGGAGCCCCTTCTAGGTCTCCCAGGTTGGAGCAGGGGCCCAAGAACCTGAGCCAACCTCTGCTGCTTTCCCAGGCCATAAGCAGGAAACTGGATCAGAAGTGGAGCAGCCATGCCCTAATCAACTATGTAAAGATCATCAAAATAAAAGAAAAAAAGAAAAGAAAAAAGAAGTGAAGCAGCCAGGACTTGAACTGGCACCCACACGGGATGCTGGTAACACAAGTGGAGGCTTAGCTTGCTATGCCACGGTGCCAGCCTCTAATCCTCCTATTTCACACACAGGAAAGCAGGGTCACATTCTTGAAGATTCTTGGTAGGACAGACTAACCCGGTAAAGGCTTTTAGAGGATGATGTAATAGAATCGGGCAACAGTAAATGCAAAACCTTGGGCCAAACATTCTGTTCTACAGGCAGACCCCTTCAAGCCCTGTCAGGAGAAGACAGGCGAGCTCTGGACGTCCAGGAATGAAGAGATGGTGACACAGTCAATCAAAAAGAATGAAGTGGAGTCCTATGGACCCTCCGTGAATTCTCCAAGCCATAGCATTTAGTGAGAACGCAGGATGCAGAACACGGACGGCCCTCGTTCTCTCAGCCAAAGTACGATCAGGAACTGCCCCTCGGGGTGAGCGTGTCTCTCACACACACACACACACACACGCACACACACGGCCACAGCAGCCTTGCCGGGGTCCTTGGGACTAGCAGCAGGAAAGAGGAGATGTTGTGCTTTGTCTGGTGTCTTTCCGCCACTGAGAACCCATGTAGTGCTTGTATGCTGGATCCAAATTAAACACATGGCACAGGCAGGACCTTCTGCCCACAGCCAGGCCACGTGCAAACGACCCAGTCCAGAACTCACACCTGCCGAGCCCTTTGCCATCATTAGGGCAGCCGCATCTGTTGTAAGGGGGTGAGCTCAATGCTCAGGCCCAGACAGCCCATATGGAAGTGCTACAGGGGCCAGAGTTGTGTAGTGGATAAAGCTACAGCCGACAACATCAACATCCCTCATGGGCACCGGCTCAAGTCCTTAGCAGCTCCACTTCCGCTTCTGACCCCTGTGGTCATTTGGGGAGTGAACCAGTAGATGCAAGATCTCTCGTTGTCTTTCCTTCTCTCTCTCCGTTAAGTCTGCCTTTCAAATAAGTAAAATAAACTATTAAAAAAAGAAAGAAAAAAAAAATTTATTACAGGGGCCAGTATCACGGTTAGCAGGCTAAGCCAGCCTCCTCCTGTTGTACCAGCATCCCATGTGGGCTCCAGCTGGAGTCCTGGCTGCTCCACCTCCCATCCAGCTCCCTGCTTATAGCCCGGGAAGGCTGCAGAGCAGGATGGCCTAAGTCCTTGGGGCTCCACACCAATGCGGGAGAGACCCGTGACTGGCTGGCTGGCTGACTCCTGGTTTTAGATCAGCTCAGCTGTTACATCCATTTGGGGAGTGAACCATCACATGAAAGATCTTTCTGTCTCTCCTTCTCTTTCAATCTGCCTTCCCAATAAAAGGAAATACATCTTAAGAAGAATTTATTCCAAAGGAAAACACTGAGGTTTTAGGTGGGAGGGTCCTAAATGTGTAACGTTTCGTTGAATCCTCCGAGCTGCTCCATGAGAGAGCAAGCCGTATTCCTGTATCCCATCCGACAGAACTGACCTGATACTCCTCCTCGCTGAGGCCCTCGGCCAAGGCGTGCTGCTGCAGCTGCTCAGGGTCCTGGGCTCGGAAGAGGCGGCTGAGCAGGGCGTAGATGTAGGGGGCTTCGGGGGAGGTCTGTAACAACACGGCCAGGCCCCCGTACCAGGCAGCCCGTGACAGGTGGTGAGCGTAGAGGCGCTCCGTGGACGAGAGCAGGCGAAAGGCCTCACGGCAGTCCAGGCTAGACACGCCGATGTCATTGGGCAGGATGTACTGGGTGTCCGCCATGGGCCCTGCCGAAAGCCAACCACAGTGGTCATCACAGCCTCACGCCACGCACATGCCCACACTGGTTCCAAGCCCTGGCCATCTCCTCTCAGCCTTCCACGCCCACAGGAGGCAAAGACTGGGGTGCCTGCTCAGCGCACAAGCTGATTTCAGATGGCGGGCTGGACCCAAGGAAACAGCAAGTGCCCAGTGTTGGGGGGACCCAAAAAGCTTAGGGGTCGGACTCACAGCCTGGGCCCCCATCCTCGGTCCCCTTCAACCCTCTCAGGCCCCCAGACTGCCAGCAGGTAACCCCACTTGCAAGCGTGACTCAGCCTAACTTCTACAACTTAACTCAAGTGCTTCATGTTTTGCACTTCCTGATCTCCTCTGTGGAAAAAAAAAAAAAAGAAGCGGGGGTGGAACCTGCATGATAATAACCAGCCCCCAGTGTGTGTGTGTGTGGGGGGGGTATTTATAAATGAGATGAGTCACCCAGCAGGAGCACTTCCTTCCAGGCTTCCTCCTGGCTCCAGGGGTCTGACCCGTTCTCCTCCCTCTACCCTATGAGCGGCCAGGGAGGTCACGGAAGTCCATGGCTGGAGGAGAAACCCAGTTTACAGCTAGGGAAACTGAGGTTGGACGAAGCCAGAAAACAACCGGGAGGTTTCCAGGCTCCGTTAGACCGTCTCACAACCCACGCTATTCTCCACACCCCCTTCCCTGCCCGGGAACAAGCGTCCGTCCTCCCCATGGGACATCTCCAAGCCTCCACACAAGAGCAGGATCCCACAGGTTCCAAAAGGGGTGCTGCTTGGAGCGCCCTTGGCCCTGACGCCTGGATGCATCTGGAAAGAGTACTGGCGGGTGAGCAGAAAGAGAATGACCCAGCTTCGCCCTGACCCCCTGGGGATGATACACCTTGACCCTGAAACCCGGGCCGCCGCACCTCACCTGCAGCAGCAGCTCCGTTCCCAAACTCACTTCCTGCTTCCGGCTCCCCCATTCATTGGGGCGCCGCAAGCCCCGCCCCCATCGGCCAATGGTGTGGCTCCGAGTCCTAGAAAAGCGTCAGCTTCAGCCAATAGACGTGCCGGGGCGAGCTCCTCCTCCCGCCCCGCCCCCGGCCGGGCCGACTCCCGCCCCCCAGGGGCTACGCGGCGGGGCGCTGATTGGGCCCCGAGTTCTCGGCCTTTTGTCCACGGGTGAGTCTCGCGTTGGGACCGAAAAGACCTTCGTGCCCTGCCTGGGGGCGGCCTGGGCCAGTCGGACTTGGCTGGCTAGTTACAGACTGACTGACTGGATGACTAGCTGGCTGGCTGGTCTGCTGGCTGACTTGATTGACTGGCTGGTCTGCTGGCTGACTGGCTGACTGACAAAGCCAGCGTTGCAGCCAACATGGAGCTCGCGGGACCTGTCCACCCCCATGGCTCTGACCCCGCGGGCCTGTGGGTGACACCCTAGCTCTCCGTGCCTGGGGTCTCCAGTCAGGGACATGGAGGAACACACCCTGCTCCTCAGCTCCTCACCATTCCTCACCACGGACCTGCCTTGAGCCTGGCGGCCACTCAACATTTCACAGCCTCAGGTCCCCTGCGCTTCACGGGGAGGACAGGAAGAGCCTGGCTGGTTTCCTAGCTCTCCAAGTACCTGTCAGACCAGGGCGCCTCTGTGCCCCTCTGAGAGGCAGCCTGGATCAGACCGAGTTTCTACCAGATCCCGGACTGGATGAGGATGGCCTGTGGAGGTGTCAGGGGCCAGAGGGGAAGTCTCAGAGTTGGGTCATGTCACCTGGATTCAGGTGGCTGCGACCTCGCGTCAGTTGTCAGCCAGAAAACCGAGCTATAAAGTGAATCCATTGTCAGGTTCGATGGCTCAACTGGCTAATCCTCTATCTGCAAGCACCAGCATCCCATATGGGTACCAGTTCGTGTCCTGGCTGCTCTATTTCCCATCCAGCAACCTGTTTACAACGTGGAAAAGTGGTGGAGGATGGGCCCAGCATGGTAGCCTAGTGGTTAAAGTCCTTGCCTTGTATAGAGATCTTTCTGTCTCTCCGCTCTGTATGTCTGACTTTCCACTAAAAGTAAATAAATAGGGCCCAGCACGGTGGTCCACCGGCTAAAGTCCTTACCTTGAATGACCAAAATCCCATATGGGTGCCAGTTCTAATCCCGGCAGCTCCACTTCCCATCCAGCTCCCTGCCTGTGGCCTGGGAAAGCAGTGGAGGACGGCCCATAAGCCTTAGGATGCTGCACCCCCGTGGGAGACCTGGAAAAAGCTCCTGGCTCCTGGCTGCGGACCAGCACAGCACTGGCCATTGCAGCCACTTGGGGATTGAATCATCAGAAAGATCTTTTTGTCTCTGTCTCCTCTCTATATATCTGACTTCCCAATAAAAATAAATAAATCGTTTTAAAAAAGGTGGTGGATGATAACTCAAAACCTTGGGGCCCTGCATCTGTGTGGGAGACCTGGGGAAAGCTATCCTGGCTTTTGATCGTCTCAGCTCCAGCCACTGCAGTAGACAGAAAATCTTTCTAGCTGTCCCTCTCTCTGTCAATCTCCCTTTACAATATTTTTTTAAAAAGTGAATCCATTCCAAATACACTACAGGTGTCAGGCAGGGATGAGTTGATTGGAGCGCTGGCCCCTAGGTTGTGCAGTGTGTTGGGAGACCGAAATCCTGCATGTTCTCCTGGCCTGCCCCGGGGCACAGGCCAGGAAAGTGTCTGCCCGCTCGACGGCCAGCGAGGTCCTGCCAGCATGACAGTGCCCCAACCCTCAGGACTGACCACGGTGACAAGCGCAGGCCCTCGGCACTGGCCTACAGCGTCGGGGAAGTCACCCCTCTGCTTTTCCAGGTCTCCATTCTCATCATCTTTTGAAAGAAAGAAGTCATGTAGTTGAAAAGCAGAGGGACAGAGAGGGAGGAACAGTGTCCACCTCTTCATTGTCTTTAAAATGGGTAGGAATTTCACCCTTGACAAGTTGTAAAGTGTACACTCGGAAGGCAGTGCTGGCTGCCGCCAGGGGGCAGGCGATGAACGCAGTCCCCCAAACAAGCCGCACCGTCGCCCCTAACAGTCGCTTGCTTAGTAACTGGGCGGGAAACTGGAACAGCAGATCACCTTACCCGTAGTACAACTGGGGAATCTGAGGCTGGGGTTCACTGACTTCTAGAAGGCCACGCAGCATTCCTCAAATATCCCTGAATGAAGCTCCACTTTATTCAGACCTTCTATCACCCTACCGGCTCCACCTTACACACACACACACACACACACACACACACACACACCCATGGAGCCCTAGCCTTATGATTGTTCCCGTCCTTGGCTCTGTCCCATGGAAGTTAAGAACAAAAAGAGAGACAATTGAGGAACTAACATTGAGTTTCTCTTGTTACAGGTGCCTTGCATACATGTATGGCCAGCTCATGAGGTAGGGACTGCTATCCCATGGACCAGTTGGGGAAACAGGCTCTAAGTGCTGGCAAGGGGTGGAGCTGGGGCCGCTAGGGCTGCTGACCCCTCCCACTGACCCCTCTGGGATCCCTGCAGTGTCCGGGGTGGGCCGCTCCTTGTCTCTCCTCCCACAGGTACCCATGCCTGGTCCCCAACAGGGCCGGAGATGCAGGAGAAGGATTTCTCGAGCTGGATGTGTGGGGTAGGAAGACTTGAAAGACCCTGCTAGTCCTCCCCCACACCCCACCCATAGCGGGGTCGCGCTCTGGAAGGACCTCAAAGGTCAGACCTGGTTTCTCTGGCCTCAGACAGCTCTGTGATCTTGGGCAAGTCCTTCCCCCTTGGATTTGCACTCCCTGCACTTCTAGAATTGTCTCCCAGCAGAGGTGATGCCCAGGGCAGTTGGTCTTAGTCTGTAGGGGCAACTCCAGTGTGGCCCTCGAGCCATCATGAGAGGTGAACAGGGTCCAGTTCAAACTTGACCTCCTGGGGAATGGTGGTCCATCAGGCCCCACCCTCCCTTTCTTCTCTGCCCCCTTGCCCTCCAAGGGCATCCATTGATCACCAGGTATTTCCCCCACCATTCCATGCCAGCCCCCTCAGCTGGGCTGCCTGCCAAAACTTCACCCTGCCTCTCAACAGACTGCCATACGTGGCTTGTCCTCAGAACTCCCTGGCTTGCCCAGGGTGGCAGTCAGCTGCCAGCACCAGCGTGTGCCCGTCTGACCTTGAACCCTGAGCTTGGACAGGCGGGATCTTGCTCACTTGCTGGCACCCTGCAGGTAGGTGCCACTAACAAGGCCCTGGCATCTGGATGGAATCATCTGCATAACCCCACTCACTTCAGCCCGTCTCTGCTCCAGGAAAGCCACCCGTGATGCAAGGGCAGGCTTCACTGCGGCTTGCAGACCTGGCCGGGCCACCTCCGAGCCCCGTGCCTATAAACCCCAATCCAAACCTTCCCCCCCAGGTTTGCTGTGTGAAATAACAGAACAGCCAAGAAGCAGAACCCAGTGCTGGGTGAGTGTTTGGCAAGCCACTGTTATTATCGGTAGCACAGTGCAGGGCACACACTGCACACACTGGGGTTTGGCAATGGTGGTAGCCCTTGTGTCATGGCCCGCACTAGGGACTTGCCAATCCTCCCAGCTGTCCACCAAGGAGGTGAGAAGCTTGCATCCAGCCTTTGCCCCCGTCAGCATAGCCCTTGCCTCTGCTCCAGCCCTCTTGCCTGAGTAACCCTGGGATGCCTTCTCCAAGAAGCCACCCTTGGCCTGGACTGCCACCCCCTTCCCCCAGCCTCTAATCTGATCCGGTCACACCTACACCCGCGCTGCCACTGGCTACTCTGATCCATCCTCCATATGACCAGGCAGGGAGCCAGGTCGCATCGTCTCTGTGTGCCCAGCACTCGTCTGGCACACAGGCCAATGCAAGGTGGGTGGCAGCCAATGCTGGTCCCAGCCTGCCCCCATCCCCCCATCCCTCGCTCAGGGGCTGGAATGCTGAACGCATGCGGGACACATGGTGGAGGTGGGAGGAGCGACAGAGCAGTGGAGGAAGATCCGGGTTGACGCAGGCCCAGAATGCATCCGGCCAAAGCTAAGGGTCGGGGCCTCGGCTCCTTCTCTCCCCCAGGGGCACAGTGTAGGCGGCAGGATATGGGATGCCCCTGGAAGAGCAGGGCTTCCCCCTACTAGCAGGCTGGAGCTGGCACCTGAGGTCCGTTGGGTCTGACTGCCCAGAGAGGGACACCGCCCACCCAATGCGTCCATCCATCCACCTGTCTGTGCGGCTACGAGCCAGCGGGCCAGAGTCCCACATGCACAGCCCCTCTGGGTTGCAGGAGGTGGGGAACGTGGGTGGGCAGGCGGGTGTGGCAGCGGGGACCTCTGGGAGCCTAGTCCAGTGGGCCCTGGAATATGAGGCGGACGCAGCCGTGCTCACCGGTAAGCCAAGCCCCACAGAAGGGACAGGCGGCGTGGAAAGCGTGGGTGCCGTGGGGCAGTGGTGTCTGGGCCCAATAGCGGGCAGTCTTCTCAGAACACACGTGGCCGCAGGGAGCAAAGGCATGGCTGGGCGGCCCAGGGTCCAGACAGAGGCCGGCCTCCTGGCCGAGCCACAGGGGCACATAGGGCCCCACGAGGCGGCAGAGGGGACACTCGCGTTCTTGGGGACCTTGCTCCCGCCGGCAGCCCCAACCATGGTAGCCGTGGACGTGGCCGCAGCGGACATAGACCCAGGGCTGCTGCTTGTCGGGTGCGGTGCGGCCCCGGGCCGGGCTGGGGAAGGCCAAGGTGCTCAGGCCTACGGGGCACTGGGGCCGGGCTGCGTTGGCCTCCTGCCGCTGGGCCTCTAGCTGCTTCAGCGTGGGCGCCCGCAGCAGCCCTGCTGGCGTGCGCCACAGCAGTGTGGCCCCACACAGGTCGATGAGCGAGCCGTCCTGCAGCACGTTGGACTCGTCCTCCACCTGCCAGGGCCAGCACAGGGGTCTGATCTAGGGCCCTGGGCTCTGGGTCGGCCTCCTTCCAGCCCATCCCACTGCCCTTTGCTTGGGAAGAGGACCCGGGACTGGCAGGCAGGGCTGCAGAGGGAGTGAGGCAAGTGCCTCCTGGCACGTGCTGTTCCTCACTGTTGGATCTGGACTCTGCCTCGGTTGACACTCCCCCTAGCGGCCGAAGCGGAAATGGCCCCAAGCAGGGATACTCGGTCTGAAGTCGGGTTCCCTCAATGGTTGACTCTGTGTCCCTGGGGATGGATGCGGGGCACGACTCAATCTCTCACTGTGTTAATATCCTCATCCTCGTGGCAGATCCCACTTCTCCTGGATCCCGAGTGGGCCTCATGAAGATGAAGTGATTCAGCCGATGAAAACACGGCAGTGCCTGGCACGTGGCGCCTAGCATGTGGAGTGCCTCCCCCCCACACACACACCAGCATTAAGCTCCTGTAAATCATGGAGCCAGGCTTTTAAGACGTGCCTTCCCCGCAGCACTCTCCACAGCGCTGGCATTCCAGAAAGATGGACCACACTCTGTCCTGAGGTTTCTGTGACCTCCCGGCCCCCGGGTGCCCAGAGCCAGAGAGAGTGCACATGGCCCCAGGGCTGCAGGCTAGACAAGCCCCCACCTCTCTCTGGGACTCACGCCTGCCTCTTGCCATTGGCTGTCTGATCTGCACCGACGTGGGGCTCCCACAGCTGTGTCAGAGCACTCCCCACACAGGAAGGGTAACAGAGGACTTCTTAAACCCACCCAGAAGGAGACAGACATGCAAAGGCTGGGCACGTGCCACACTCCTAAGGGGCTGTGGTTTTTGCTTTAAGCTGCTGGTAGCCTCCAAGCCGCTGGGTACCACACGGGGTACTTGTGTGGGGGTCCAATCCACATCGCAATGTGGGCCTTCGGTGAGCTGTGCAGGCCCTCTGGGACACGAGCCTGATCCTGTCTGCGGGGCAGGTGGCACATGGGCTCCCCTCCCCTGAGACACAGTCTTTGGGAGCAGCCTGGGAAGGGCGTGTGACAGGGTGGAGCAGGCCACCTACCAGCTTGCCCCGCTGCTGAGCTGAGCGGCTGTCCCGTAAGGTGTACACATTCCCGCACACCGAGATCTCCCGCCAGACACCCGGGGCCGAGTCCTCGGAGAAGCCGCCCGCTGGGTGCATCACCAGGACGCCGTTGGTGGTCAGGCCGTCCATCAGGCCGTCGGGGGTCCGCCATTTGGCCGCCCGCTCCTGGCACCACATGAGGGATCAGATCATGTGCCTGAGTGGCTGCACGCCAGGGGCACTACTCCTGCAGCCTCCAGCTAAGAGGCAGCCGCGAGAGGCTTGCCGTGGGAGGCACCTGCTGACCTCCCGCTGGGCCCCAAGGAGAGCATCTGGGACGTGGTGTGGCTCCCTGGTCCCCGCCTGGGGACTAGTCCCTCCCCCAGGGGCTCACAACGTACACCTCTCCCAGTCTGCCCCTGGGCCAACTCTCAGATGAAAGAGTAAGTCTCTCCTGCCCGGGACTCAACTCACTCCGAGAAAGATGTTGCTGGAGGCGTCAAAGCCCGCAGCATAGAGGCGGGCGGTGTAGGGCGGCCGGCGGTCGCAGAGGATCCGGCAGGCATAGCGCGAGATGGTGCTCTGGGCAGAGGGGCCCTCGGCAGCCCCTCCCCCAGGGGATGTGTCGGTGACCACAAAGTCGATCATGTTCTCTGTGGAGCGACCGATCTGCGAGGAATGGGGCTGTGAGCAGAGGATCACCCACGGGAGAGGGGACTGTCCCGGCCTCCCGTCCCAGCACCCCCGCAATGATTCAGTTACATTCCCAGAGCGCGGGTGGTGGAGGCTGTTGGTACTATTACAGGCTCCATTCTACAGAGTAGCAAACCGAGGCCCAGAGAAGCTTATGTCCAAAGTGACTGAGTTTTCAGTGACAAGGCGGGGACCTAAGCTTGGGCACTCTGAACCACCAAGCTGAAATGGCTTCCTGCAGCCGGGAAGCCTTGCACTGGGAGGCTTGGGTCAGCCTCGGACTTGGGGAGAAGAGGGGAGTCTGCATGCCTCATTTACAGAGTGGCCCCAAAGCCCTTTCCCGTTAGCCTCATGGCCTTGGTGCCCAGCTGTCCCCTGGAGCTCCTGCGGATCAGGAGGTGGAGGGCGCGGCGGGACGTGGGCTTACCTGGAACATGTCTGTGTCGCTGTCGTGGGTGTACTCCACGATGACCGACTGGCTTCGGGACAGCGTGTAGGAGATACTGTGCTGGCCGCGGTTACTCAGGGCCTGGCGAGGCGAACGAAGTCACTCCGGGCCCGGGCGGCCACTCCCTGGGAGGGGGCGGCTTCCTTTGACGCAGGAAGCAGGTGCCCTCCTCCCGTCCTGTGCAGCCACTCTGAGAACAGGGTTCCCAGCCCCATTCCACGTCAGGGGCAACTGCCCTATGTCCCCGCCTCCCCCACCAGCTGGAGGCATCAGAGGTGGCATGGTGAGCCCAAGGTTTTCCCCTGGCGTGGCTGTGTGGCGCTTGCGTCCTGCTGTCTGAGCCCATGCTGCCTTGACAATGATGCTGCTCGTTTTCTCCCAGACGCTCAGGGGAACATCTGCCAACTGTAAAACCCCGTGGGGGGCCGCAGGGGCGGGCAGCATGGTAGTGCAGCGGGTTGAGCTGCCACTCGTGGTGCTGGCGGCCCATATTAGAGTGAGGGCTTGAACGTGGCTGCTCCAGCTTCCTGTGAATACCCCTGGGAAAGCAGCTGCTGAAGGCCCAACTACCCGTGTGGGAGACCCAGAGGGAGGTTGGATCTCCTTGTTTCAACTTGGCCCAACCCTGGCGCTCGCAGCCATTGGGGGAAAATGAACCGGTGTATGCATCTTTCTCTCTTTCACCTGCTCTGCCACTCTCCCTAGCAAATAAATAAATCTTAAACAAAAGGGAGGGCAGGGGAAGGCATGAGCAGGTGAGACTGAGAAGGCCAAAGGCCCAGGCCTGGGACTGCAGGGTGGGATAGGCCCCGGGGTGCTGGGCCCCGTGCTTGCCTTGGAGACGAGTGGCGTGGAGATGTGGTGCATGATGCCTGGCTTGACCCCGTTAGCGTGTGGCCGGCGGCTCAGGGCCAGGCGACTTCGCCGGCGGCCCTTGTCCCCGCTGGCCAGACACCCGTTGTAGCTGTGGATACGGCAGATGCAGAAGAGAGAGTGGTGGGGAGAGAGAGAGAGTCAGCTTCTGATGAGGTTTGAGGAAACTGCCAACTTCTGGCAGACGCATGTTAATCAAGGAGCCCTAGAACCCCTTCCGAAGTGGAATAGTCTCCAATATCAAATTGGGGCACTGGGGGACGTGCAGAGCGGGCAATCACTCAAGTAACCAAGTGTTCCTGGGACACCAAAATCATGCCTGGACAGATGCTGGACAGGTGCTAGGAGATGGCAGGATGCTCCACAGGCCAGCCTAGTACCCTCAGTGTTAAGTGGCGGCAGGGGGAGGAGGGGCAGGCTCGACTTCTCAAGGACTCATGAGGTCCTACCTGTTACAAGGCAGAGGTGGGAGGAGGGTGGGCTGGCCTCAGTATCAACTTTCTGGGAAAGACAAAATCTATGCAGGCTGGGAAGAACTGGGAAAGGATTCGTCCATACCGAATTCTGAATCAAAGATGCAAGAAAATTGGCCCACCCTTGCCACATGTCTGGAATCCCCTGCCTTCCTTTCCAGTCCTGGTCCAGGGGGAGCGCTGCTGACAGGCAAAGGCAGGACGAATCACAGCCTTGTGCACTGCAGGAAACCGGGGCCTCTCCGACTGGTCTTCCGTCTTAGTGAGTCCCTGGCGGCACTGGACCTTGCCCCCTGGGCAGCTGGTTTTCCTCTCATGTTGACTAAAGAGAGACTCCGCTAAGTGACTTGCCTCGGGGTGGGGTGGTAAGTGGAAAGTTCAGATCTGAACATGCACCTGCCTCTAAACTTATAGGAACCCTTCCATACGGCAGGCTGAGCCCGTGCCAGGGCCCCAAGCTGGCAGGACTCGGTGAGATCCAGGGATGCTGAGCTGAGAAGTGATCTTGGTGAGAGGGCCCTGAATGCCACCATGTCCAGGCAGGGCTGGAGGAGCCACTGAAGAATGCAGGGAATGACAGGAGAAATGACTGCCGATCGGACAAGTGCCCTGGAATCACAACTTTCCAGGCCAGATTTCTGGCGCTGGTGTTGTGGCACAGCGCGTTAAGTCTCCGCCTGTGAGTCCCGGTCACTCCCATTCCAGTCCAGCTCCCTGCTGGTGCACCTGGGCGATGACTCAAGTGTGGGTCCCTGCCACCCACATGGGAGACCCAGCTGGAGTCCCAAGCTCCTGCTTTCAGCCTGGCCTAGCCCTGGAGGTTGTAGCCATTTGAAGAGGGAAGCAGCTGATGCAAGATTCTCTCGGTGTCTCTGCCTTCTCTTCATAACTTTTCAAATAAATAGATCTTAAGAATAAAATCTGGATTCCCTGGCCACCGCGTTGGAGAACGAGTCCGTGGGTGGGGAGCAAGTGTGTGTTCTGGGCATTCTCTTGGAGGCTTTGCAAAGACACATAGTTGACTGAGGACCATGTCCCCAGCATCCCTCATGGGTGGCCCAGCCTTCAGCTGCGAAGCCAGCCTTTCTTTTGGGACACAAAGCAGGCCATTGGCCACATAAGCACCCCTAAGAGGTATACCCCTTTTGCCCTGCTGTTCTCTTCCTGAGTGGTGTATGTAGCAGGAACCAAGGCCTTGTGACTAAGGCAAGTTCAGGACATAGAATGGGACTCCCAGATTTGCACGGCTTAAAACCTGGCTCTTCCACTTGTAACATGACCTGCCACATGACCTATCACGTGACCTCTGAGTTTTCAGAACCTACTTCAAAACTTCCCTTTGAGAATGAGGGGCCTGGGCCCGGCCGCGTGGCCTAGCGGCTAAAGTCCTCACCTTGAACGTGCCAGGAACCCCTATGGGCGCCGGTTCTGATCCCGGCAGCTCCACTTCCCATCCAGCTCCCTGCTTGTGGCCTGGGAGGGCAGTCGGGGATGACCCTGCACCCATGTGGGATACTCGGAAGAAGTTCCTGGCTCCTGGTTTCAGATCAGCATAGCATCGGCCATTGTGCTCACTTGGGGAGTGAATCATCGGACAGAGGATCTTCCTCTCTGTCTCTCTTCCTCTCTGTATATCTGACTTTCCAATAAATAAATAAAAATAAATCTTAAAAAAAAAAAAAAGAATGAGGGGCCTGGCATGATACCCTAGTGGCTAATGTTCTCACCTTGCACCAGTTCATATCCTGGCAGCTCCACTTCCCATCCAGCCTCCTACTTGTGGCCTGAGAAAGCAGTCAAGGACAGCCCAAAGTTTTGGGACCCTGTCCCTGTGTGGGAGACCTGGAAGAAGCTCCTGGCTTCAGATTGAAACCTGCCATTGCGGCCATTTTGGGAGTGAACCAATGGACGGAAGATCTTTCTCCCGCTGTCTCTCTTTCTCTCTGTATATGTGACTTTCCAATAAAAATAAAAGAAATATTTTTTAAAAAAATAATGACATAAAATAAAACTTTTTTTTAAAAGAAAGATTTATTTGTTTTTATTGTAAAGTCAGATAGACAGAGAGGAAGATCTTCCATCCACTGGTTCACTCCCCAAGTGATTGCAACAGCCAGAGCTGCGCCAATCCAAAGCCAGAAGCCTGGAACCTCCTCCTGGTCTTCCACGTCAGTGCAGGGTCCCAAGGCTTTGGGCCGTCCTCCACTGCTTTCCCAGGCCACAAGCAGGGAGCTTGTGGGAAGTGGGGCCGCTGGGATTAGAGCCAGTGGCCATATGGGATCCTGGCATGTTCAAGGTGAGGACTTTAGGCGCTAGGCCACCACGCTGGACCAGAATAAACCGTTTTAAAAATTCCTGACATGTCCAACCCAGGCAGCCCTTAGTGAATGAGTTGTTACTATGTTCTTCGAAAAGCTCTTGGTGTGATTATATACCGACAGCCATTACTGTGTCTTCACAATCATCATTCACATCACTCTCACCCGGCAAATAGTTGTGGGGGTTTTTTTGGGGTGGGGGGGGAGGAGGTTTGATTTTTTTCAGGACACACGGCAGAGAGACCCAAAGAAGCAATGGGGGTGGGGATCTGTGCTGCCCGGACACGAGTCAGGGCACGGATCTTGGCCAGGTGTCTAGGACTGACACATGCCACTTCCTCACTTCTGGCCTGACCCACCTGCAGCGTGAGGGTCAATGTGGCTGGATGAGCGAACACTTGACCTAGAGTAAGAAGGACCTGGGTTCCAATCCCAGTCCTGCCACTTACCAGCTGTGTGCCCTGGGGCCAGTCACTTCCCCTCTCTGAGCCTCGGTTTCCTCACCTCCTTCCTCACAGCATCTTTGTGAAGATTGAAATGAGACAATGTCCATGAAAGGGGCTCGGCACAGGCCTGCCTCCCAGCACATGGGGCACGGGCCAGCAGCGTGTCTACACCCTGTGTAGAGGCTGCTTCACTCCTTCCTGCCTGCTGACCACCCTCTGGAGTGGCCATTGTCTGTCTTGGCCAGAGGGCAGCAGGGGGGCGCAGGGCACACACCGGAATGGAGCTGAGCTGGAAAACCAAGAGTTCCAGAAAGCGCCACGGAGCCAAGGGAGCTGTCTCGGTTAAACTTATGAGGAAGCCAGGATGGCGAGGACCAATGGGGCAGTCTGTTCAGTTGGCGGGAGAGCTGAGGGCCCTTGGGTGTGGGGGTCGGGTTGCTCTGGGGTGAGTGGATGGGGGTGCAGGGAGGCTCACCCCAAGACGATGAGTTCACCGTACTTGATGGGCCCCTCGTCCGGCTGTGCACCTTCCCCGGGAGAAGAGAGGATGCAGGAGCCCTGGTTCCCCGCGTGCTGGAGGTCACAGGTCCGGGGGGACCCCACTTCGGGGTTTCCTTCCAGCACCATCCTGGGCAGAGGAGAAAATAGCTTGACAGCTTCCCGCCCCAGGATAGGGAGGGCCTCCCCTCCATCCTAGAGCCTACTCTGCTGCAGAGGGACCTGGAACTCAGGGGAGGGAAGGGGTGACCTTTCACCCTTTCTGTTGCAATGGCACCCGTTCTCTTGGGGACCTCTCCTCAACGGGCCTCCCCCCGAATTCTTCCAGGTCGCTCTGACCCACCAGGGAAGGAACAGAGGCCAGATGGAATCCAGCAGGAGTGCGAGGAGCCTCGGTGGGGACTCAGGCCGCACCAGCCTGGGATGTGCTGGGGACCCTGACGGCTCAGATGGAGCCCCGGGGTCAGGTTCTTGGACTTCACCTGCCCCAGTGACAGGTCCAGGCCTGTCCGTCTGTCTCTTTTTCAAGGACTCCTCTGTCCTTCTCCGCGTCCTCTCTCTGCCCCCAGCCTGTCTGCTTGGCCTCGGTCCCTCCATCCTTCTGTCTCAATCCCTTTCCTTCTCAGCTTCGCCCTGGAGCCAGGGGACGCCTGCCGGATGCGCGCAGGTGTCTGTCTGCGGTCCCTAGAGGCCCGAGGGGGCGGCGCTCCCCTCCCCGTCCTCCTGCACCGGCCCGGGCTGCAGAGCAGAGCCCGGCTCGGCTCCCGCAGGCGGGCAGTCTGCAAAACAAGCCCACAGCAGCGGCGCTGAGCCCTGCGCCCCGCAGGACGCCCGGCGCGTAAATACGCAGCTGGAGCCCGCGGCCCCGCACAGCCCCGCTCGCCGCCCGCGGCCCCGCCGCCCCGCGGGTCTCACCTGGCCCTGCTCGGCGCCGCTCCAGGCCCGCCTCGTCCGTGCCCGGGCCCGCGGGGCCGCGGCTGCGGGATGCGCCCGGCTGCGGGATGCGCCCGGCCGGTGGCGGCTGTCGGCGCTGCCTTGTCACCGGGACACCCGGGGCTGCGGGGAGGGGCGGGGCGTCCAGCGCCACGCCACGCCTCCCGCCTCGGGCCCCGCCCACGGCCCCGCCTCCGGGAGCCCCGCCCCTGCGGAGGCGCGGAGCCTTAATCGCCGGAGCTCCTCCCCTTTGGCGGGAGCCCCGCCTCTCGGGCTTGAAGCCACGCCCCGCCGGCTCAGGGAAGCCCCGCCCATCACCCCCATTTCGGGACACCCTGGATTCCGTCCCTGTATCTGACGAGGGGGAGTCTCTGAGGTTCACCGGGGCTCCCCGTCCCACTACCTGGCCAGGGCCCTTCCTTTGCACAGGAAGGGTCCTTTCCTCAACCTTAGACCTCGGTACTACCGGAACCCACCCCCCCGGAAGCCCAGAGGGGAGCCCCTTAACCCTGTCTATGAAGTGAGTTTCAAAGGGCGAATCCAGGAGGGCTCAACAGAGATGTCCTTGCATTCAACGTGGACGGTTGGAAGCACCTGCCAGCTGCTCCCTATCCCAGCGGCTGTTCGTGAAGCCCCCCATCTCCCAGATTCTTTGTGCCTCTTCCACCAATATCAAACTCCCCCCAGCTGAACATAGTCAAAAAGTGCTACCTGCTTTGTCCACTGTTGCCAGGCCCCAGTGAAAGCAGCAAGCTGCGACAGCTCATCCTTTGGGGACGTAGACAACTCCCTGCTGGGTGTCTTCGCTGCACGCCCTCCCTCTGTCCACGGCGATCTCGGTGGAGTACAGCTGCTGGAATTCACTGTTAGATCAGGCCCGTCATAACTGTGTGTCAAATCACCATGGGACACCCCAGGTTAGGTGGACGCTGCCCAGGGAGCCTTGGCTTTAAAACAAACCAATAACCTCTAGGAAAAGATCAAGGGGCTGGCGCTATGACTCAACAGGCTAATCTTCCGCCCTGTGGTGCCAGCATCCCATATGGGCATTGGTTCGGGTCCAGCTACTCCTACCTCCCTGCTAACGGCCTGGAAAGTAGTGGAGGATGGCCTGAGAGTTCGGACCCTTGCACCTATGTCTTTCTCTGTCTCTCTCTCTGTAAATCTGCCTTTTTTCTTTCTTTCTCCTTCTTCTTTTTTTTTTTTTTTTAAGATTTATTTATTTATTTATTTATTTTACTGGAAAGCCAGATTTACAGAGAGGAGGAGAGACGGGGAGAAAGATCTTTCACTCCCCAAGTGGCTTCAATGGCCAGAGCTGAGCTGATCTGAAACCAGGAACCAGAAGCTTCTTGCAGGTCTCCTACACGGGTACAGCGTCTGGGCCGTCCTCTACTGTTTTCCCAGACCGCAAGTAGGGAGCTGGAACAGAAGTGGAGCATCCGAGACATAAACTGGGGCACACATGGGATCCCAGCGCATGCAAGGCGAGGACTTTAGCCATTAGGCTACAATGTTGGGCCCAAGATTTATTTATTTATTTATTTATATTGCAAAGGCAGATATATATAGAGAAAGAAATATATAGAAAAAAAATCTTCCAACTACTGGTTCACTCCCTAATTGGCCACAATGGACAGAGCTGAACCGATCTGAAGTCAGGAGCCAGGAGCTTCTTCCTGGTCTCTCACACAGACACAGGGTCCCAAGGCTTTGGGCCGTCCTCTACTGCTTTCCAAGGCCGCAAACTGGAAGCTGGTTGGGAAGTGGAGCAGCTGGGATACGAACTGGTGCCATATGGGATCCTGGCACATGCAAGGTGAGGATTTAGCCACTAGGCTATTGTGTTGGTCCCTAAATCTGCCTTTTAAATAAAATTATGATAATATAATAAACCTTTAAAATAATGTGTTGAATATCTGCATCAAAAAAAAAAAAAAGAAAAGAAAAAGAAAGGAAGGAAGGAAGGAAGGAAGAAAGAAAAGGAAGGAAAGAAAAACCACGGGGACTCAGCCCAGCAGTGTAGTACTCCGTAGCATTTCCAACACTCCCCCTCATGAACAGCCAGCTTCCTAAGATCAGATCGGATCACCGATCCTCAGCCGGGAAGAAGCGCAAAGGTCAGAACTGAACACAGTATGGTTTCTAAGGACTGTGTCTGGCTTGTGCACCGTTGTCAAGTCCAGACGTTCTCCGCCAAGCCGTTGTCTGTCGGGGACCGTCTGAATGGCGGCTCTTGGCACATCACACATGGCCCCTGGCACATCACACATGCCCCTCAGCCGGTTCCTTTAGTCACTCCTGTAAGAGCAGAGCTTTTCATGAGTCATGGTTGGGAGTGCTTAGTGGCTATGGAATGGACACGTTTTGAATAAAACAGTGTAATGGAAATGATCAGTGTAGACCCCATAGGTGGGAGCTGTCCTGCGTAGTCCGGCCACAGTGCAGAATGGGTTTCTTACCAATCCGTGCTCAGAAAGGAAGAAAGCCAGTGCAGTGGCCTATGAGAGCCTCAAACGTGATGTCATACCTGCTTCATTTCCAAAGGCCCAGCACACTGTGACTGACCCGGCCAGGCTTGGAGTAGCATATGCACACTCTATGGGACACCACAGAGACGCACCTGCTTACAGAGAGGGCATTGCCAGGGATCATGGAGTAGCAGGTGCTTTGGGATGCTCTAGTATATATATATGATTTTTTTTAAATAAATAAACACAGTGAGTGAGTCCTAGGCTTTGGGCTCTGCATGCTGGCCACCTGGCCGTGGGCTCTAGAGTTTTAGGGTGTGTAATTGCTGCCTAGGGACATCCAGGGATAAGGCTAGTGTGATTGTAGGTGAGGGATGAATTCTGTGTGATTCCTAGCGATGGGGTCACAGAACTCGCTTGTAAGCATGGGGACTGAGATCTGAGGGTTTGGATGGGAGAGTCCATAAGTTCTATTTGGGCAGGATTGATTCATCAAGCCACATGGGACTCCTGAGATGGGCTGTTAGCACAGAGCATCACTGACTGCCACACACCAGTCCACACGAAAGCTATGGCTGGGGGCCTGTCTGGCAGGGCTAGGTGCCAGAACCTTACTGAGCGGTGAATGGGGAATGGGTTACACTTGGCAGGGTCAGGGCACTAGCCAACACGCAGGAGAACCAGATCTGGGGGTAGATTCTCTGGGGAAAATGTGGGCCCAACCCTGCGGAAATATAAGTCCCGCTGGATAGCTTGCGAGTTGGGGTGGTGATGGGCTGAGCTAGGTGTGACCATGGAGCCTGCCATCACTTATGGGTAAAGGAAACAACAATAGTCTGGGTAGGTCAAGGCAGCAGCACCCAAATGTGCATCCCACAACAGGATGTGGGGTAGGCCAAGCTGCAACTGGAAGGGGGTGGACTGGGCAGGGATGAGCAAACCTTAACTCACAAGGAAGAACAGAAATCAGGATGGAACACAAGCCATGCTGAGCTTGACTCTTACTCCGATTGATCTGCCTGAGCCAGGACTGCTAGGCCACAGCATCGAAGGCAAAGGCTGAGACAGCTGAGGTCATGCCAAGCTGGGTCAGAGCAACCACCAGCATGTGTGTGATCTATGGCTGGGAACAGGCCCGATTGGAGAGCTAAGAAGACACTCTAACTGGGTTGGGGTTCCTACTGGTGAGTGCAGGGCTGGAATGGGGGCTGCGTTTTAATCTGGAAATGGCTATAGTCTCCCTTGGCACGAGTGTGGACTGAGACTGGACACACCAAGCCAGGCTAGATTCCAGCACCATCTGGTGCTCTGGAAGACCAGGGTAGATGTGGGATGGACTAGGCTAGGTTTCTGCCCCTACTGAGCCATGTTTGAGCTGTATGTGGGTATGGATGAGCTGTGGCTGGGCTGAAACATCCAACAGTAAGAACCAGATTGGGTTGAAGGTCAGTCAGGAAAGGCCACTGTTGCTGCTAAGACAGGAGGTGGACTAAGTAGAGCTGGCTCAGGGACCCACCGGTATGCGCAAATTCTCGCATTGGGAGAGGTTCTGACGGAGGAGCCTGGGTAACTCCTCTGGTAGGACAGAGTCGATGCAGGTGAGTGCAAGGACCATGATAAGGAGCAGCCCAGACCAGGCCAGAGAAGGATACCCACAGCCATACATTTGGCATGGGTCGGCGGGCAGACCAGGCTGAACCACTTCACATCAACCGCTGGTGAGTCTGAGCACCAAAACAGAATGTGGGTCGGGCCAGGTTTGGTCCACATTACGGAGTGCCAAGGTGAGGTGACCTGTACCGAAGGTGACCGCAGCACCCAAACAGCACATGTGAAAACCAGGGAGGGAGGGGGCAAAGCCGGTGGTGGATATATAGGGGTGCTCCCCTGCTGGAACACCACTCCCACTGGAGAGCATGAGCTGGGATGGGGGCAGACCAGGCAGACCAGACCTGTGGGCCTCATGTGAGCTAGATTAGGGAAAAGCCAGGCTGGGCTGATTGTTCCTCCTGGTGTAAGCATAAATTAGAGTGGGTGAGGGTTGGTTGGGCTTAGCTGCAGCATCAGCTGGCAGAGGCTGGCACTGGGGGCTAATTCTGTCAAATTAAACCTGGGGATTCCTCCAATTGAACTACTGATCTAAGAACCCCAACCATGAAGAGACTATGTGAGCCAGTGGGTTCTGAAGAGTTAATCGTACTTGGAGAGGCCAGATTGGCAGCATTTCAGAACTGCTGAACTATCAAAACTGCATGAGCAGGACCCTCAGAGCGTGCCCCACATCGGGGATGGGTGGGAGGCTGGGTGGGGCTTTTCCCTTTATCTCTTCCCTTACCACAGATACAGAAAAAAAAATGATATTAATGTGGAAACAATGGTCTTGCCCATTTTCTTGTAGCCCTTGACCCTTTGTACTTTAATCAACTATGTAAAGATTACCAAAATAAAATAATTTTTAAAAAGATATTTTTTGTTTATTGCAAAGTCAGATATATAGAGAGGGGTAGAGACGGAGAGGGAGATCTTCCGCCCGATGATTCACTTTCCAAGCAGTCCCAACGGCTGGAGCAGAGTCAATCCGAAGCCAGGAGCTCTTCCAGGTCTCCCACACAGGTGCAGGCTCCCAAGGCTTCGGGTCGTCCTCGACTGCTTTCCCAGGCCACAAGCAGGGTGCTGGATGGGAAGTGGAGCAGCCGGGATTAGAAGGGAGGTGACCAGGGACAGACCTTGAAAGGTCTGGAATCTACGCTGACCACCAAGGTTACCAAGAGGTTATTCTGGGTGCCCAGACGAGAGATGGCAACATCCGGGGCTGGCACTGCACTGTAGCAGACGAAGCCACTACGTGGGACCCGGCATTGTACAACAGTGGGTCCCAACTCCTCCCTCCGCTCCAACTTAGCTCCCTGTCCCAGAGAGCGAAGCAGGACGGCCCAGGTATTTGTCCCACTCCATGTGCCCTGGGTGGAGTTCCTGGCTCCTGGCCTCAGACAGACCACCGTTACAGGCACTTGGAACATGAACTAAGATGACAACTCTCTGTCTCTCAGATACATCAGTTGGAAGTACAAGATTTTCAACTCCCCTACTCTGCTCTGTAAGGACCTGGAGCACCTGCTGACTTCAATAACGGTCAGGCAGGGCCGGGGCAGGGCAGCCTGGACCAGGTCTCTGTGCGTTCTGTAGGTGGTGATGGTCAACTTTTACAGGGTGACAACCAGACCTGAGCCCAGCACCTTCCCCTGGGTCATCCCTTCCCAGTGTCACACCTGGACCTCCCCCAAATGTCAGGCTTTCCCAGGGTTCTCTGCAGAAGTGGCTTTCCTGTAACTTGCCAAAGTCGGAATAACAGGTTCCACAAACAGCAGGTGGGACAGGCACCCACTGAGTCACTCGGGGCTCCCGGGGCAGGCTCTTCCCTGATTACCTTCGTCTAATGTCTTCCCTGAGTTCACCATTTCCTAGGAGGCAGGCACATACCTTAGCTGCATTTTACAGAAAGCAGAGGGTGGGGTGGCATGGGGTCATGAGCCTGCCCAAGGTTTCAGTGTCGGGAAAGCTGGGGTGGCAGAATGTTATAAATGTTAGATGTTAGATGCAGGGACAATCACACTTGATTCGTGGAAATCCAGCAAGAATTCCTAATGAACATTGGTGTATTTCTTGTTGTGCTGTGTGGTTTCATATGGGGACTGTAATTTTTCAGGCTGAGGTAGTACAGTGCAGCTGTGGTTAAACAGCCCAATGCTAGGGGCAGGCACCATGGCTAAGCTTCTGCCTACAGTTCTGGCTGCTCCACTTCCCATCCAGCTTGCTGCTTGTGGCCTGGGAAAGTAGCAGAGGATAATTCAAGTCCTTGGGCCCCTGTACCCACGTGGGAGACCCGGAAAAAGCTCCTGGCTCCTGGCTTCAGATCAGCTCAGTACTGGTCACTACAGCCATCTTGGGAGTCAACCAGCAGGTGAAAGCTCTCTTCTGTCCCTCCACTGCTCTCTGTAACTGCCTTTCCAATAAAAACAAACATCTCTGTTATATATATATATATATATATATATATATATATATATATAAAAAGAAGTTAAATTATGTCAGATGACAACAGCCCATTTTATTGATCACAGATGGCTGAGTCTATTAACTCCTACAGTGGCTCTATGAGAGTGATTTTTTAAAGATTATTTAATTTACTCGAAAGGCAGAGTGATACAGGGAAAGTGAGAGCCAATGAGATTTTCCACTCATCAGTTCACTCCTCAAACGGCCCCAATAGCCAGGGTTGGTGCAGACACAAAGCCAGGTGCCTGGAACTCCTTCCAGGTCTCTGGCGTAGTTGCAGTTGCCCAAGGATCTGCTGCTCTCCCAGGAGCATCTGCAGGGAGCTGGTTCAGAAAGCGGATGGGGATTTGAACCTATGCTCACCTGGGATGCTGGAATTGCAGGTGACAGCTTAACTCGTGGGGCCACCACACCAGCCAAAAGCGTTTTAACTGTGTGTGTTATAACAGCACAAGCTTACAAGGCGCCAGGCACTGTTCTCCAATCCTTTGCCAACTCAGTCCTTATGAAAATTCAGAGATGGGAGCAATCTTTTACAATTCTGCACGTAAAGCGGTGGAAACAGTATCAGTTAAGTGACTTGACCACGTTCACGGCCAGCAAGAGGAGCAACGGGGCGGTTTGTGCCCGGGACCACACTCAGCCGCGTCGCCCTAACTACAAGTTGCAGGTGCGTGTCAAACCGTAGCATCATCACGGCGTCCGGCAGGCGGCGCTCTAGCGCGCATCAAGCAGCTTCACTTACGCAAGCGCTAAAAACTACCATGCCCATAATGCAGTGCATGCTCAAGGGCCTCTCTCCTGCTTAGCTGCCCGAGGCAATGCCTGCATGTATGCTCCGGAAGGAAAGTGAGTCGGAAAGCCACTGGAAAACGCAGATGGGAGATTTCCTTTCCCTCTTTACTGGACTCTTCTTGCCTTACCGGCGGCCGCGATAGGATCGATACGGTTCAGCCTCCTCGGCCCCTCGCCTGACGGGAGGACCCTTGACCTCTGGCCCATGATGGCGGCGCCCAGAGAGTGTCACTCGCTGAAGTGAACTAAAGCTAGAAAGCCTCCCTAGCATCATGTCGAAACTGAGCCGGGCCTCTCGGGCCCTCAGAAAGCCCGAGGCTGGAGGCGTGATCCGGACCATCGTGCGGGCCGGCCAGGCCATGTCCGGGCCCCCGCTGGGCCCTATCTTAGGGCAGGTGCGGCTGGAGCCCCGCGTGGGAGGCGCTGGAGGGTGGGAGTGGGCGCGCAGGTGCAGCCGGGGGGCTCAGCTTGGGGTGTATGTGTATACCGTTCTCGCCTGGGTGTGTGTGTGTACCATGCATGCCTGGTGTGTGTGTACCCGTGCACGCCTGTGTGTGTGTGTGTACCCGTGCACACCTGCTGTGTGTGTGTGTAACCGTGCATGCCTGGGTGTGTGTGCTGGAGGGTGGGAGTGGGCGCACAGGTGGAGCCGAGGGGCTCAGCTTGGTGTGTGTTTGTGTGTGTGTATGTACCTGTGCACGCCTGGGGTGTATGTGTGTGTGTATCCGTGCACACCTGGGGGAGGTGTGTGTGCTGGAGCGTGGGAGTGGGCGCGCAGGTGGAGCCGGGGGGCCCCCTGCCCTTGTGTGTGTGTGTGTGTGTGTGTGTGAGGCGCAGGCCCTGGGGTGGTAGCAGCTCTGGGAATCCCACGAGCTGAGGACCCCCTTCTGTGCTGCCGCTCCTCCTCCCTACACCAACCCCCTGGGCTTCCTCCACAGCGAGGCGTTTCCATCAACCAGTTTTGCAAGGAGTTTAACGAGAAGACCAAGGACATCAAAGAAGGCATTCCGCTGCCCACCAAGATCTTTGTGAAGGTGCCGGGTCTCAGCCCTGAACTCCAATTGCTTTTTCATCCCACACCCCCTCTTGTTCCTCCGGCCGCCCCGGGGCAAATGTGTTCTTTTTTTCTACACTCTGTCCCAAGCCATCCTCTTCCCGTGTTTTCAGACCGATTGTTCCTTGGGGGTCCTGGGGTCTGTTAGGGGTGCCATAGGCAGTTGGGAAGTGGGACAGGACTTTAGGAGTTGCTGGGTTTAGCTTCCGCCTAGAGTGCCAGTGTTCCGTTCAGATTTGAATGAATTCCATTCAGGGTTTGAGATCCCGCTGTTCCACTTCCCATCCAAGTTGCCTGCTGGTGCACCTGGGAAAGCAGCAGAGATTGGCCTGAGTTCTTGGGGTCCCTGCACCCACAAGAAGCTCCTGGCTTTGCACCATTTGGGGACTGAACCAGCAGGTAGAAGTTACCTGGGCCTGGATGACAAGAGATATTCTCATGTCTGTATCTTCCGGTTAAGCCTGACAGGTCATTTGAAATCAAGATAGGTCAACCCACCGTCTCCTACTTCCTGAAGGCGGCAGCTGGGATTGAAAAGGGAGCCCGGCAAACAGGTGAGGGCCAGCCAGGGTGGGCACGTGGGAGTCTTCTGGGGTTGGGAAGGAAGCAGAAACACTGAAGATGGGCTGGCTTCCGCCTGGCAGGAAAGGAGGTGGCAGGCCTGGTGACTCTGAAGCACGTGTATGAGATCGCGCGGGTCAAGGCCAAGGACGACGCCTTCGCCCTGCTGGACGTGCCCCTGTCCTCAGTGGTCCGCTCCATCATCGGCTCTGCCCGATCCCTGGGCATTCGGGTGGTGAAGGAGTGAGTGTCGTGGAGTGGGTGTGGAGAGAGGGCCCCAGGGGCAGTCAGGGTCTGCTTTGGAGGCCCAGGTTAGGTGGTCAGGGTCTGCTTTGGGGGTTCTGGTTGGGCGGTCAGAGTCTGCTTTTGGGGTGTTGGTTTGAAGTCTGTGGACCAAGCAGTGTTCTGTGTTGGTGCTGTGGGTGCCAGCTGCAGCCAGGCCTGAGTGAAGACACTTGGCCCGCTCTCGGGAACCTCAGTTCAGAGGAGGAGGAGGATGCTGGCCCACAGCGCCTCTGGGTGGTCAGGGTTGGTGAAGCAGTGGAGTTAAGGACGGCCACAGGAGATTGGGGGTGTCTGGCCTGGCCTAGAGCAGGAACGGGGACGACACTGAAGCCCCTCGTTGTTGTCTTGCTGCCTGTTACCCTCCGCCCCGTGACTGTTGGTTGGGAGGCTAGGGGCTGCAGGGAGGGAGCAGTGGGGCTCTGGGACAGTGGCCTGGGCCCCCCAGAAGCTTTGGGATGTCTGCCACTCCGTTCCCCGACACCACTGGCTTTCTCTACCTACAGCCTCAGTGCCGAGGAGCTGGCGGCTTTCCAGAAGGAACGGGCTGCCTTCCTGGCTGCCCAGAAGGAGGCCGACTTGGCAGCGGCCCAGGCAGAAGCAGCCAAGAAGTAACCCAGTCTCCGCTTTCTCCTCCCGCACCCCACTTGGAAGCTGGCATCTGGGGCCAGGGGGTGCTCTGTGCCCCAGAGAGGCAGGGAGACCACACCAGCCTGACCGTTCTATTGCTGACTCATCTTTTAAAAAATGTTTTGACATGAGTGGCTGAATCAGCCAAATAAACATCTTTTGTCACCCACTCTTGGCTTTTCTCTTGGGTCCCCAGGGAAGGGTAGCAGAGCTGATGGCATCCGGCACAGAGCCCACCCCCTACAGGTGGCCTTGGGACATCAGTGGGGTCTTGGTCCTACTTTTCAGATGTGTAAACTGAGGCCCGGCCAGGCAGAGTCACATGGCCAAGGGCTTTGTTTTCCCCTCCTGTAACTGAACACCTCGTGAAGAAGACGCGTTTAAATTCCGTGTACGAATCTGGTCACTGGGTTAGCCGAACAGGACAACCCCATGGCTCACGTGGAAGAGAAGCCACCATAGGAAGTCCCAGCGTGTGACCCCATGATCATGAACCCATGCCCTCCTGTGTGACCCACCCCATGCAAGACCAGCACCGATAGGGAGCCCCTCTGACGTGGTTGCCCCCAGGAGATGGAGTATCCATCATGCTGGGGGACCAGCTGGGGTCTCTGAGACTTCATCCACAGCACCCAGGCTGTGCCCAAGTGCCTTGGCTGTTGTCCTGCCCCACGGTGGGGGCCAAGGCGGGTTATCTGTAGGAGCTGCCTGTCCCTTGGGGACTTGGAAATGCAGGTGGAGGCTGCTGCAGGCCCCTCGCCTTCCTCTGGTCAGAGGTCAGCTGGCCATGAACAGGAAGGGGGATCAGGGCGGAAGGCCTCGGGGCTCCCTGTTCACAGACGTGGAGGGTCCTTGTCCCTCCGACGAGGTACCGTGCGGCACTTGCGCACATGTCCAGAGAGGCTGGGCAGCGTGGCGTGTGCCTGTAAGGAAACAAAGCTGCAATGGCTGGAGCTGAACCAAAACACAGCAGGAACCAGAAGCTGGCCTGGCCCAGTCCAGCCATCGCAGCCATCTGGAGGGTCACCCAGCCTGTCTGTGTCTCTCTCTCTCTGCGATGCATTTCCCTCCCTCTCGCCTTCCAGCCCTCCATCGGAGGGGCAGATTTCACAGAGAGAGAGAGGAAGATCTTCATTCACTGGTACACTCCCCAAGTGGCCACAACAGCCGGAGCTGAGCTGATCCGAAACCGGGAGCTAGGAGCTTCTTCTGGGTCTCCAGTACAGGTGCAGGATCCCAAGGCTTTGACCCATCCTTGAATGTTTTCCCAGGCCACAAGCAGGGAGCTGGATAGGAAGTGGAGCAGCCCAGACACAAACTAGTGCCCATATGGGATCCTGGTACATGCAAAGTGAGGATTTAGCCACTGAGCCATTATGCTGGGCCCTAATGGATTTTTTTTTTTTAAGTATTTATTTATTTAAAAGATAGGGTGGGAGAGAGAGAGAATGTTTTATCTGCTGGCTCACTCTGCAGATGGCCACAATGGCCAGGACTGGGCCAGGCTGAAGTGTGAGCCTGGAAGTTCATCTAGGGCTCCCGTGTGGGCACAGGTGTGCAAGCACTGGAGCCATCTTCCACTGCTCTCCCAGGCACATGCTCGTGTAGCTGATGGGACAGTGGGGCTCAGTGGACCTGAGGATAAATGTCCTTGGACCACCGATTAGGGTGAGGAGGGTCAAGGAATGGGGGACAGTGAATGACAATTGTTTCCATTTTTTTTCTTCCTGTCTGGGATTTGGCGGTCAGGGGGTGATAAGGAGAGAGGGCTGTTCCCAGCAGCTGAATCGCATCAGTTCCCAGGGATGGGGGACAGCCGCCTGATGTCACCCCAGGGTCCCCCATGTGGAGCATGTTCCGAGGGCACTGCTTACGTGGTTTCGATATCCTGACATGCTGTTGATTTCACTGCTCCAAGGCTGAGGAAATCCTTCCAAGGTCCATTGGCAGAAATAGTCTACTTTAGAGTCTACATGCCTAGATATTTGCTGTCAAAACTTGGCCAGGAGAGCTGTCCAATTTATTTTGCCTTCTATGGTACTATATATCTTCTGCAGGCCCCGGTGAGCTGGTTGTCATGTCCCCTACATGTATCTGAGTATGCTGTCTACTGCCCAGACTTCAGCACCTGAGGAGGCCCAGTTCGGACACTTGCACTCCGTGGTCAGAGCACAGATCCTGTGCTTTTCTCCTGGTTGGTGTTCAGAGTCCAGTGGTTCAGTTGGGAGTTCCCCAAGAAACCTCACCAGAGATGACCCCAGACCTGATTGCCGTGTGTGCCGGCCAGTGTAGGATCTGGCTCAATCCTTCACCCATATCAGCCTACACACTGGTGGGTTGGAGCTGCCTGGTCAGTTCTGGCCCCAGCCCTGTCTCATATGCAAATCAATGCATGCTGTGACCCCGCCCATCCCTGCCCACCAAACATTGGCTCCTCACACCATGCGTAACCACATCCAGCCTAGTCAGAGCGACCCCCAGTAACCCCACTATCAAGCCCACACTCATGCCTGCAGGTGCCACCGCCTGTCCAGCCAGGCTCACCCCCAGCCCTGGCTCTCATGCTCACCAGTGAGAGCTGCAGCCCATCAGAGGGGTGCCCACCCAGCTCTCAAGCAAACCAGCTGGTATGGCAGTCCCCCAGGGGTGAGCCCACAGTCCCCCACAGAACTTGCTCCCAGACTCAGTTCTCTCACATGCTGGTTAGTGTCGTGGCACTGACACGGTGCACCCCTTGTCCCGACACTCACTTGCAGGTACTGTGTTCGAGCCGTACCAGGCAGACCCCCCAGCCAATGCCTTTTGTGTGTGGCAGTTGATGGTGGTTGATATCAGCAAGCCCAGCTCAGGTTTCCCACGGGCAGGTGTATTGGTTTGGTCCCAAAACGTTTTCCGGTTTCCCTCCTTCAAGCTCTCTGGCCTCAATGCCTTTGCTTACTTGCAAGTGCAGTAGCAGGGAGCTGGATGGGAAGCAGGGCGGCCAGGACATGAACTGGCGCCTCTATGAGATCCTGGCGCGTGCAAGGCGAGGACTTTAGCTGCTGGGCTATGGTGCCAGGCCCTAGAGAAGATTTTTAAAGTATCTTTTGTGTAATACATGACTTGGAAATGTTTTTTTCCCACCATATGACTTGTCTTTCTTCCCCCATTTAAAAAATTTAAATTTTTATTTATGAGAAAGAGTGAAAGAAGAGCGTGAGAGTGAGCTCCCACTGCCGGGTACAGATAATCTGCAGTGGCCAGGACTGGGTCTGAAGGTGGGGACTGACAGCTTCATCCAGGACTCCCAGGTGGGCAGCAGGAGCCCAGCTCCTCGGCCTCATGCCTGCCCCCCAGGGTGTTGTTTTTTTTAATATTTATTTTATTTGTATTGGAGGGTCAGGTATACAGATAGGAAGAGAGACAGAGAGGAAGATCTTCCATCTGCTGATTCACTACCCAAGTGGCCACAACAACTGCAGCTGAGTTAATCAAAAGCCAAGAGCCAGGAGCCTCTTCTGGGCCTCCACGCGGGTGCAGGGTCCCAAGGCTTTCCCTGCTTTCCTAGGCAGGGAGCTGGATGGGAATCAGGGCTGCTGGGATTAGAACCGTTGCCTATATGGGATCTCTGTGCGTGCAAGACGAGGACTTTAGCCACTAGGCTACAGCACAGCAACCACCCCCCCCCTCGCCTCCCAGTTTTGCATTAGCAGGAAGCTGGAATCAGGAGTGTAGCTGGGACTTGATCTTCAAATTAAACCTTTAATGTAAGACCCCCCTTCTGGCATTGGATGGGGGATTGATTGACCGTTTCCAGCAAAGACTGAGCTGATCCGAGATGAGCTGTAGTTTTACCATGATTCCACCTTCACTCGCCTGCCTCCACTCCCTACCGTGGCCACCCTGGACTTTGGGAACTTGGTAGGTCTCAGCCCTGGAAGGCTCGTGGCAGCTCTGGCTGGGCCCCTCAGAAGTTCTGAGCTCAGCGCTCCTGCTGGCGCAGGCAGGCTTCAAACCAGACGGGTGCCCAGGAGGGGAGGTTGGCCTCGATGCTGGGCTTCAGCCGTCCTGCTCTCTTCATGTAGACGCATTCCGCCTTTAGTGAGAGCAATTCTATGTCACTTCTCATCTTCACTTACCTTCCCTGCTTTGACCCACGGGGCAAATGGAGCTGTGCACGTTTCCGTTCCTCAGCATGTCCCCACGTGACACCCCAGAGCTCATACTGTACGCTCCTCCTCCTGCACCAGGTCCAGACAAGGACCACCTGCTTTACTCAGGGAGAGGGCTGCTGGGGAGGGAGGGTCTTCTTCCCACTTCTGAATTTTAGCTCATTTAGTTTGTTTCCTTTGCAGCGTGAATTGAGCAGCGTGCTCCTGTTTATTTCTAGTTCCACATCTTTTAGATTTTTTTCTTTTGCTTTTGGTTAACATTTTGAGCCCAGGGCCCAGACACCAGAATGACCCCTGACCTCAGAATGGCCCCTGACCCAGGCAGGCGTGGTCCTATGTGAAGCAACCAGAATTGGAAGTTAGTTTTTCTGACCCCAAAACTTAGTGCTTTCTGATATATTAGGCTTCCAAGACAGCAATTTGGTGCCGGTGGTATGAGCATCGAGTCAGACTCGAATGCTAAAGCTACCCCTAGGGATGCCACTTTCCTTGTGCCTCCATTCACCCACTGTGAGCCACTGGACCATGGCCGGGGAAGAGACGCAGGTGCTTTTCTGTCCGGCAGGTGGCGATATTAGCTCGTCTGGTTTTTCTCTGGGTGTTCGGCTGGCTTCCGCCACGCATGCTCCGGAATGTAATGTGTTTTGTTGTTGTTGTTTGTTTTTTTCTTCCCTTCAGGCTATTGTTGACCATCACCAGGAAAGTTTGGCTTGTAAATTTCTACTTCCTTGCAAGGCGGAAGGACGGAAAGCGACAAATAGTTGGGAAGAAGCCCATCTGACAGTTCACTCCTCAAATGCCTTTAACAGGTGGAGATGAGCCAAGCAGGGAAGCCAGGAGTTCATCATTCCATTCAGGTGGGCCACCAGCAGGCAGGGACACTACTTGGCCGTCACTGGGTGCCTCCCAGGGTGCGCAGGAGGCAGGAACTGAGCAAACACTCAAACCCTGGCACCCCAATAGGGAATGTGGGCACCCTGGAAAACATCTTGCCCACTGCACCTCTCACCCAACCCTCCACCCCACGAGAGGCTTTTGGACAGGACATCAGCGCATGTGTGTGCAGCTCACGGTCCCTTAGCATTCAAAGCTAAAACTCATGGCTCTCAGCCCAGCAGGTTTGGGTTTGCTCCAGCAGGCCCTGGACTGCTCTTTGCAGTGACCCCTCTACCTAAAGCAGCTGCCATGTGGCTGCTCTGTGCCGGCCTGTGTCCAGGGCCAGGGGTGGAACAGAACCAACGCAGTGTGTTCCTGGAGGCCACGGTACACTTCCACTCAAGTCCAGGAACAGCTGTCCAAGGCTGGCAGTGGACAAGACACAGTCCTCCTGTTCCCCCAAGGGCCCATTCAAGGTGAGAAAATAGTAGCCTGGAACCCAGAGGGCCTGTGTAGGCATTGGTTGGAGTCCCACCTACTCTGTGTCCAATCCAGATCCCTAACAGACCTGGGAAAGGCAACAGGAGATGGGCCCCCCATGACCCATGTGAGAGACCTGACAGAGCTCTAGGCTCCTGGCTTTCCTCCGGGCTTCTGGCTTTGACCTGGCCCAGCCCTGGCCACTGCAGCCATGGGGGAGTGAGCCAGCAAGTGAAAAATATCTCTTTCTTCCCCCCACCCACCTGCCGCCAATAACTCTTTCAAATGAACAATAAATCTTTTTTTTTAAAAAAAAGATGTGGGAGGCAGAAACCAACTTCCCGTAAGCCAGCAAGGTCAATGTGAATTTCTAGTTTGACAACTGAAGTCTGTTCCATGCTTTCTGCCTCCTGAAGTCTTCGCTCCAGCCCCCTGTTCAGAAACTTCACCCCCCAAAAAGGCCACAGTAGCCGGAGCTGACCCCTCCCCTAGTCCCTGGCAGCGAATCCCAGGGCCATTTCCATCAGCTCCTCCCGCCCCTGCCACCCTGTGAGGACCCTGAGGCTCAAGTCCTATTCAGCAAACTGTTGGAGGAGGGGGATTAGAACCCAGGACTTTCTGTCTTGTTGCTTTTGTCCTTTATCATACTGTGGGCCTGTTGTCCCTTAAGCTTGGGATGAAAACAGCAACATTTGGGGAAACTTCTTCATCTTGGTCTGTCGCATCTTCTCGGCTCCCAAAAAGTTTTCACCCCCAAAAAGGCCACAGTGGCCGGAGCTGAGCCAATCTGAAGCTAGTAGCCAAGAGTTTATTCTGGGTCTCTCATGTGAATTCAGGGTCCCAAGGAGCCAGGCCATCCTTCATAGCTTTCCCAGGCCATCAGCAGGAAGCTGGATGGGAAGTGGAGCAACCAGGACACGAACCAGTACCCGTATGGGATCCTGAAGCTTGCAAGGTGAGGATTAACTTGTTGAATCACTATGCTGACCCCATGTTCACAGGCCAACGACACGCCAGACCCTCTTGTCCACCCCTGAGTCCTCTCTCCACTCCTAGCATACCGAAAGCAAAGAGGAGACCCCACAGCTTCTAGGTTGGACACTAAGCACCTCAAAGACAAGACACAGCAACTATTTCAGTGCCAAGCTTTCCAGCACAACCAAGGCCACACATTACACACACATATGAGTGGAAGAGTGAATGAATGAATACATGAGGGAATGAAGAAATGTCAGGGCCTGAAGCAAGCCCAGCCTTCTGCATTGACGCCCGGGATCCTGGTTAGACCTCCCAACCTTCTCAGTGTCTCCGCCTTCCCCTTTTCCCAGCAGGGTATGACACCAGGGTACCAAAAAAGGCAAACTGGACTTTATTATAAAGTTGGTTACAAAGTCACCACAGCACCACGAGCCGACCGCCCGAGACAGGACCCAGGCGATCTGGCAGCCGGTGAGTCCCGTATCAGGTACATGCAGCTGCCCAGGATAGGACCCAGGCGACCTGGCAGCTGGATGAGTCCCGCACCAGGTACACACACTCGTGGCGGCAGGTCTGCCTTCCTCCATCGGAAAGGAACGTAGCGTCTCTTCGCGCCCCCCACTCCAGGCATGGGACGCAAAAGTCACAGGAAGGCCGCCAGGGCGGCAGAGTCCATCGGAATTGAAATCCCGTTACTGGTGTGTAGAGAATTCTACGTGAGTGTCAAGAGCCCCTCAGGGCACAGGCTCGCTCGGGTGGGCCCTGCCTTTCCCCCACCGAGATCCGGGGTGGTGGGCTCGGCCCCCTAGCAGTGGAGAAGTGGCCCAGGCCCATGGGGCAGTGCGGCAGGGGAGTGACGGCCCCCTAGCAGTGGAGAAGTGGCCCAGGCCCATGGGGCAGTGGGCACCCAGGCCCATGGGGCAGTGGGCAGGGGAGTGACACTCCCCCGTTCTCCGCTTGAAATCTCATTCAAGGGGACTCACTACAAGTGAATACTGGTTGAAATGGAAACTGGGATCGCTCGAAGTCTCTTGGTTTTAAAAAGAAGCTCCCTCCCTTGCCCTCCCACCTCCCCCCCCCAAATCCTGTAAGGCCTGGGGAATCAGACACATCCCCCCTCTGGCCCCCAGAATCCCCCCAACAGTCCCGGGGGGGTGGAGAGCGGCTCCACGTCTTGATGACAATATGCCATACTTGACGACGTTAAGTCACAGACTTATTCAAAACGTTGGTTCCCCTCCACTTCCATCTGCAGAAAGAGAGAGACAGAGAGACGAATGGTCAGTTGGATCTATTAGGGATGCAGGCCCCGGGCTGAAGGGGTGGCACATGACACAAGCTCAATGACCAAATGACCCACCTCCCCGGAGGCTCAGTGGATAAGGGTCAATTTGGACAGGTGGAGTTGAACCTTGGCTGTGGTTGTGGCTAGATTGAGTTACAGGCAGGGGCCACAGCACCAGAGCCAGTGCTATGTACAATCTCTTTAGGACAAAAACACTGAGATGAGGCTCTAATTATCCCATCCATCTGTGTGGCTGGAGGAGTGCAGAGGACTGACTGAGGTCCCAAGGAGTTTAGAAGCACAGGTCCCTGGCTTTTGATCTCACACCCCCAACCTCTGCTTGCCAGGTCCACTTGTCCAAAACTGTCCTTGCTGAGTTCTTCATTTTTCCCCTTATCCTAACTGCTATGCGTGCCATCCACCTTCCTACAACCAAGGTCCAGGGAGGGGCCCCGATTTGCCTCATTTCCCACTAGCATCTCCTTGGGTGGGATGGAGGCACGTGTTTGGGATGCTGGTTGGACTCACCTTCATGGAAGCTGTCTTGAACTTGGCTCTGGAGTTGATGCAACTCATCAGTAAACCCATCGTAGGGGAATGCTGAGACACCTGTCTCAAAGGCGGTTTCGTATGTGGCCAGGTCCTCCAGGAAGCTGTGGTCTTCTGGGGACAGGTTGTTGTGAGGCGACGGGACCCCTCCTGGGCCCTCTGCCTCAGGATCCCCTGAGCCCCATTCCCCATTGGGGTCTGGGGTGGAGAGATCCATGAAGATGTCTTCCACGGGCGTCTCATCCAAGAACATGTTCTCAGGGTCAACCAGGAAGTCCAGCTCCTGGCACTTCCAGGGTTTCAGGTCTAGGCTGAGCACTGGGGGACCAGCCCCCGGCAGGGACAGATTGGAGTCCAGGGGCTCCAGGCCTCCCAGGGGCTCCAGTCCACCGGTGCCAGCCTCAGCTGAGAAGGGCCTGTCCATGCCCTGTGCCAACTGGCTAATCTGCTGGATGAGACGGTCAATCCCATTCTGCTCCTTCTCGGAATAGTGGAAGAAACTCTGCTTGACCGGAGAGGCCTCGGGGGTGAGCAGGCCTTCGGGCACCAGGGGCACATCCACGGAGAGGGGCCCCCGGAGCTGGGCGAGGGCCAGGAGTGTGCAGTCCCCATTACCAGGGCTGCTAGGACTTGGTGGCAACTTCTCATAGAGAAAACTGCATCCCTCCTGGGTAAAGTAGGTCTTGGTAGCACTGGGGCTCAGCTGCTCTGGGAATGTTTGGCTGGGGCTGCTCAGCTGTGCTTGAAATGCTGTGCTGGGGGGAGTCAGCTGTTCATGGCCAGGGCTGCCCAGGGGCTCTGGGAAAGTGGCAGTGCTGGGCAACAGCGGGTCGGGGAAGGTGGAGGTGCAAGGAGTCAGCTGTTCCTCATAGCTTCTGGCTGGGGCTTCGGTCAACTGGCCTTGCAGTGGGCTGGTGAGTGGATCCGGGAAGGTGGCACTGCTGGGTGTCAACTGTTCGGAGAAGGTCACGGTGCTTGGAGTCAGCTGCTCTTGGAGAGAGCTGGATGGGGTGGGCAGGTGAGTCTGGAAAGGCTCGTGAAGACTGAACAGGAAGGCGCAGCCTCCTGGCTGGTGGGGGGTATAGGGTGGCGTGCACACAAGATCCTTGCTCAGGTCTGCCTGGAGAGAAGGCGCAGGCCCAGATGGGAAGGTCAGGTATCGGAAGTCCACCTCTTTGGGGGGCTGAGGAAGCTCTTCTGAGCTGGAGATGACGCCCAGTTCAGCAGCACTGGGGAAGTTGGTGCTTCTGGGAGCCCCCAAGGCTGGAGCAAAGAGTGGGTTTGGGTTGGAGCATTGCTCCTGTGAGAGGATATTCTCAGGGAACGAGGGTGGCATGGCCGGGGCACTCAGGACGTAGGATGCCAGGGTATCCTCAGAGCTCAGCTGCTGGCGGAGGCTCCAGGCTTCTGGGTCACTGGAGAGAAGGGAAGAGGCAGCCGGTAAGGGTCTGGTGTCCATTCTTGGAGTAGTCGCCCGATTCGTGTTTCCTCCATGCCGATCTCAGTTGATCCCCCCAAGGCCCCTGCCTGGCGGCTCACCTGATTGGGTAGTTATTGGCAGTAATGGGGCCCTCAGGACCTTCGGAGTACAACAGGCAGTAAATCCACGCCCAGCCTCCAGATTTAGCCTGCAGCCTCACCACCATCTCCGCCTGGATATCTCTACTCTCAGTCACTGGGAAAAAAGAAGAGGCACTGGTTAGGATACCCATCAGACAGCAGCACCCGAACTTCCTGCCCTGCTCACCTCCCCACTGGCCTGAGATGGCCATGACATTCTGGCTTCTGACTCCCCCAATCTCCCCTCCCTTCACCTCACCACTCAGAGACACCCCCACATTCTGATGCTGCTGTACCTACACTCCTTATTCTGACATTCACCCTGGGACATCTGACAACAGTCAGCCTCTAGCATCCCCCCAGTCTTGGCCACACTCCCTCTCTGGACACTCACACAGGCGGTAGTGTTGAGCAGAAGCATGGGTCAGGTCTTCAGGGTGCAGCAGTCCATACCACGATTTACACAGCAGTTCTGTGTGTTCAAAGCCCAGGTAGATGAGGACGCTAGAGAAATAAAAAAGGTGAGGTCATCTTCCTGTTGGCCCTGCTGGATACTCACATAGCTCCCTCCCAGATTCCTTGCCCTTCTCAGCCCATCCTCCCTGTCCCTGACTCCAATCCACCTTCCTACTGGACTCTGGACATCCCAGACCTACCTCTCAGAAATGTCCAGTATGGCCAGATCTTTGGCATGACGGCTCTGGAACATGGCCAGGAAGAGAGAGGCAGGGCCAGGTCCGGGTCCAGGGCCAGGGCGAGGTCTTGGTTCCAGTGGGGCACAGAAAGCTGTGAACACAGGGTTTCCTGCCCAGTAGGCTCCAGGTGGGTGAGCGTGGAATCGGCCTCGAATAAGCACCAGTTTGTTGCCTGCACTCTGGCGCCTAAGGGACTTGGAGGTGTTGAAGCGGCAGCGAAATAGGCGATCTGTGTGTGAATAAAGAGAACTTTTTAAGAGAGCGGTGGATATGGAAGAACAGAGCAGAGAATGCACTGTGGAAGGGAGAGAGCCCTCACCAGTGTCGAGGGCAGAGGGCATGGCGAGCTGCTGGCGCACGGTGAGGTGATCAGCAGGGTCAATGATGTCGTAGATACTATCTCCTTGGGCAACCAAGTCCACCTGGAGGAAGGGGAAGAAGAAATAGCCATTAGTGGGGGTAGCAAAGGCAGTCTCTCCCAGTAACTCCCAGTTTCTCAGGAAACAAAAGCTCACTGCCCCCTCCCCCAGTCTGGGCTTGAGCGGGTCCTCAGCTCTCACCATGGAATGGCCAAGGTGCTCGCTCACACTCTCAGACAGGTACAACAACTTCCCCTCGGCTGTGAACACAAGCAGAAACCCAGGCAGCGCTGCCACGATGTCTTCAAGTTCTTGGGCTGAGAGGAGCCCTGTGGGGCCCTCCAGAGCAGTGCCTGTGGAGAGAGGAGACGTGGTGAGTCAGAGGAAATCCCCACGAGCCTGCCTCTGCAAACACCTGTTGACCCATTGCCCTGCGGCTCGGGGCCAGGGAACCTGTTGTTGGAGCTCCCTAAGCTAGCAAACCCTTCTTCCAACTTGCCCCAGGAGCCTTGGGTTTCAGCACCGCGGACAGTGCTCCGTAGACAGCTCGGTGTCCAGCACCGCGGACAGCGCCTGCCAAGCCGGCTCGCCCCGTCAGCACCGCGGACAGTGCTCCACAGGCGCCGGGGAAGCCCTTGGCACCACGGACAGCAGCCTGTCCTTCCCCGGGCTTGAGCCGCACCATCCCCGCAACTTCCCAAGCTTCCCCTTCTGTGCTCCCGGAGCGCCTCCCTCGTGTTTCTTCTTCTCTCCTGGTTCTTATCTCTCTTAGAAATCCGGGGCTGGGGAGACCTTTCAGGCTCATCTAAGAGCAGAGTGAGGTCTGGACAGAGCTCAGAGAGAGACGCAGGGAATCCCGAGTGGAGCCCGGGTTCCCCCGCTCTGCTGCTCAGTTTGCCAGTGCGCTGCCCCGGATCGCAGAGGATCCCCTCCGACTCCCTGTCTCCGGTCGCCCCGGCTTGAGCTTGCTCACCTCCGGCGAAGAAGACGCCCTTGCGGGTGTAGATACAGGCGAGGCTCATGATGTGCAGGTAGGACAGCCGCACCTTGTCCGCTTCGGCCAGCGGCAGCAGCTCCTTGAGGCTTCGGATCTCGGCGTTGATCTGGTCGCGGCGCGCCTTGGAGGCGCCCTTGGTGGAGCGGTACATGATGCCGGCTGCGGAGCCCCAGCTCGGCGCCCCGACACCTGCCGCCCGTCCGGACGCTCGCTCGGCTGCTTCCTCCTGCTCGCCCGGCTCTGGCTCAGCCTCTCTCCTGGGCTCCGCTCGGCTGCGCTGCCCCCTCGCCTGCTTTGCTCCGCCTTATATAGCTCCTGCCGGGCGTGGGGGGCTCCTGTCGGAGTGGGGGGAGCGTGAAGGCGATAGGCTGGGCTGAGCGAGCTGCAGCGGGAGCCGCCGGCGGGGGGGCTCCTGCTCCCTCCTCGGCTCCCGACGTCATCCCGTGACGTGGAACGGGAGGGGGAGAGAGCAGAAGGGGGGAGCGGCGGAGCGGGGAGGCGCGCGCTGCGCTCCCCAAGCCTGCAAGGGCGCGTGGGGACCCCCCGCCGCGATGAAGGGCCTGGGTCTTCTTGCAGTCCCACCCGGAGGTTTTGGAGGAGATGGGGGTGTGGTGGGGGGCTGCAGGGTCGTTCACACCCCCCCACACTGTTTACCAAAGGTTGCAGTTCCCCAGTGAGGATGGGGGACTTGCCTTAGGCTTTGGGGGTCCCCCCTGCTGGAGACTGCTCCATCAGGATTTCCCGGGGTCATTTTCAAAGAGCGATCCCTGTGTCCTCCTCCCAATTCCGGCCTTGGCGATTGATCAGGGGTTTCACAAGGATCCAGGTCCTAAAATGGGGCGGAAATGGGGTCTCTTGGGACGGGGAGCAGCAGGGTTTGGTCCTGGTCTCTTTTCCCCCACAGCGGGAAGAGGGTGGACAACCTCCCCGCCCTTGCTCCATGCGCTGCAGTCTGCAACCGGTCCTTTGCCTCGACTTGTCGGGGGTGGGGGGCGGGAGCGGAGGAGGAAACTGAGGCAGAGCCCGGGGTCCCCTGAGGACTGGACACCAGCCCCCCTCCCCGCCGCTGCCGCCCCCGGAGCGCGCGCCCGCTGGGCAGCCCCGGCGCTTGGACGCGGGCCGGGGGCGGGGGCGGGGCCGGGGGAATCCCAACTCCATATTAGGACAGGAATCCTCAGCCGGCGGGGCCTCCGGGAGCTCGCGGCGCGCGCGGGGACGCACATGGGGACGCGGCTGAGCAGCCCGGGGTGCGGGGCCGGCGGGGCCTCCGGGAGCTCGCGGCGCGCACGGGGACGCACATGGGGACACGGCTGAGCAGCCGGGGTGCGGGGCCGGCGGGGCCTCCGGGAGCTCGCGGCGCGCGCGGGGACGCACATGGGGACACGGCTGAGCAGCCCGGGGTGCGGGGCCGGCGGGGCCTCCCGGAGCTCGCGGCGCGTACCGGGACGCACATGGGGACACGGCTGAGCGGCCAGGGTGCGGGGCCGGCGGGGCCTCCGGGAGCTCGCGGCGCGCACCGGGACGCACATGGGGACACGGCTGAGCGGCCGGGGTGCGGGGCCGGCGCACGTGGGGCACAGCAGAGCAGCCGGGTGCGGGGCGCAGCCTCCGCGAGCCCTGCCCCGGACCTGCCTGGGACCCTCTACAGACTCCAGGCTGTCTCTCCACCCTCAACTCACCCCAAATCCCATTGTCTTCCTGGGTGCCTGGTGGTCTCGCCCAGGGCGTGCACCCCTACTACCTCCCACTCCCCTCCCGCCCCTCCCCACCAAGCCTCCGGCGGTCAGGCTTGGTCTCCGCGGCCAGTAGCTTTTTTCTCTTTCAACACAGATGACTCCTTGGGGGGAGGGTCGGCGCTGGTGCTAGGGAGTTGGGGGATGGATGGGGGGGGAGGATGCCAAAGGCAGAGGCAGAGGGCTAGGGAGTGTTTTGATCTAAAAATTCCTTTGATGGGGTAGGGGTGTGTGTGAACTCCTCGGAGGGACTGGAAATCAGGCCACTGACAAGGCAGGGGTGTGGGAGCAGCCTGACAAGGTGGAGGCTACACAGGCAAGGTGAGAGTGAACTTTGACACCAACAAGACAAGTTTGAGGTGGAGGCGGCCCCCATGGGAGAAGGTGGCAGAGAGAGGAGAGGGGGCAGCTGCTGAGAAACGGAGGGCCTTGGAAGAGGGGTGCTTGGCTCTTTGCATCACGTTGACAGAGGTTGGGACCATTGGTGGTCTGTGTGTGTCTGCCACTCTCCCCACCCCCAATAACCCCAACAGCCTGGGTGCCTCTGTTGCATCTTTCACCTCTATCTGATCTTGAATGCTCTTGGAGGAAAACTCAGGGCAAGACTACTGTCTGTGACCCCCACAGATGCCTTCCACCGTGATGAGAGGCGGCGCCATTCCCGAGCAGGGAGCAGCTCTCCCGGGAATGTCGCTGTCCGTGGTCCTGAACCAACCACCCTGGAAGTCAGGTTGGCTGGACTCTGCCTGCCAAAGGGGACAACAGAGTAGGGCGTGGAGTCCACACAGATCTCAAGGACCCCCTGACCGTCCGTTTCTTCTCTGAGAATGAGTGGGGAGGGGCTTGCAAGGGGCCAAGATTCCTGGACTATGGGAGTCACAGTAAATGGGAGAAGAGAACTGGTCCTAAGGCAGGGAGGCCCTGGGATGTTTTCAGAACGAAGAGTCCCCTTAAAAGGGAAGAAGGGTCTAGAAAGGGACGTGGGTGGAGGGGTAGGGAAGGGTTCATTCTAGTTTAGCCATTCTCATTCAAGTTAAGAAGCTCTTTCTGCCCCCAATGTCTTCTCTCCTTAGGCCAACTCCCACTCCCCCTGCCTCCCACCTCCGTGAAGTTATTTTTAACTGTATAGAACCAAAAATAGCTTGGCAGCAGCTTCAGGCCGTGGGAGAGGAGCTATTTATATCGCCAGTGACGGTTCCGAAATAGCAAGCAGGAGGAGGGGGGCGGCTGGCACGCTGGAGAGCTCCTGGCCGCTGCTAAAAATACTGGTGAGTGAGTCATCCTGGCCTGGCTGAGTCACCCCACGCTTCCCCCAAGCGGCGGCGGCGCCAGCAGCAAGCAGCAGCAGAACAGGCAAAGAATTGGAAGCCTGGGATGGGGGAGGCGGTAGAGCAGCTTGGCTCTGCAAATGTGGGCAAAAGAGTGAATGGAGAGAGGGGTTTTGGGGGTGAGGGTGCAGAAGGAACAAGGAAGCAGGGGCCCCCAAGCCAAACCTCCCTGGTGAGTGTAGGATGGCTGGGGGAGGGGACATTTGGGCAGTCGATGGGTGGTGGCCAGATTCTGTGTGTGAGTCCCTCTGATGGTGTGTGTGTCCCTGCATGTCTGCATCCCAGCCTCTTGTGTGTCTGTGTCCGTGGACCTTGTTGCCGTGCTTGTCTCTGGTCTTGCATTTCTATGATTTGCCTGTGCCTGCATCTCTGCTAGTCTTTTTTTTCTTTAAAGTCTCCAACATCTTGTGCTGCTTGTGGTTCTGTGTGTGTGTGCGCGCTGGCCACTGTGTGTGTGTGTGTGTGTGCTGGCCACTCTGTGTGTGTGTGTGTCTGTATCTGCTTGCACCTTTCCTTTCGGCATCAAATGATAGAGAGGCAGTTGCATCCTACAGACTCACCATGCCTTCCCTCCTGTCCCTTGCTGGGTTCATACATGTCTGTCCTTTGCACCTCTCCCCCAAGCCTGCGACCCTATTTCTAGCCCGTGGTCCCTGATCACATGCAAGCTCTCTATGACATGTAACCTCCTGAGAAAGACATGGAGGAGGAAGGGAGCTCCACATGAGTCCGCCCCCTTCCTCTGGAAGCAGCCCTGGCCTGCAGGAGTAAGTGGTTTTCCATCTTTCCATATTTGGGGAGCCAAGAGAAGAGAAAGACTTTCTTTAGTTCTAAAAAAAAAAATCCTGGTGTGGGCATGGGCATGTGTAGCACGCACATGCACGCACACACACACACAGAGACACAACTGAGAGAATGAGAGAGAAAAAAATATCAAGGTCCCTTCTTTACTGAGCAGAGCGCGCATCTGTTTCCATGGCAACTCGCCCACTCCTTCCCCGAAAAGAAAAAAATCACCAAGACGAGGTGATGGCATCGAGGACGGATTGGCTGATCCCCTTCTTTATGATTTTTTTTTTTTTATTTTGCCGAAAAAGGCCCTTTTATAGCCAGCATAGGCCACGAGATTCCTTGTCACTCTCTTGCATGGCTTTATCAGGGACCTAGGAGCCCACCACCTCCCAACCTCTATGAGAGAAGATGTGTTTGCCTTTCCGGAGGTTTTGGTGGAGGGTGAGGTTTCAGGAAGTCACTGGAGGAATCCTAGAAGATGTGGTTCTTCCAAAAGCATGGAGACCCTGGGCCCGTCTCCTGGGATTGGGATCTTGTTAGGGAAATGTCAGGGGGTGTATCTGGTCTTGCTGTTGACAAATAACTTTATAATAAAGAGAAAGAAGCAGGAAAAGAAGAGAAGGAGAGAGAATGTGGGTGGATGGGTGCATGAATCACTTGATGGGGTTTCAAAGAAGACAAGATGTGAGCAAGCTCTCAGTGGTCATCACATCGGACAGGTAGACAAGATGGCTCAGAGCAGATCCATGCAGGCAGTTGGTACTGTGTGCTGGGTCACCCTGATTGCAGCTCTGGGCCACCTGCCTTGGGCCCCCAGAGAAGCAGAGGTCACAGGGAAATGTCCTCAGGGACCCCCAACATTCACATTTCCTAACCCTAGTCCCAGCTCAAGTTCTGGAGGTTTCCTCCAAGGCCTGGCCCCCGGCCACCGTGGCCACATCATTCTCTCAAGCAAACTGTAGCCTCCTGCCAAGTGGTGGAGAGGAAGGGATTCCTCGTTCCTTCCCAGGCTTGGCTTGCAACAAGAATGGGGTCACTCAGAGCTGGACGTTGGGAAGACTGACCAGGAAACATTGCCTGCACTGGCAAGCTGCTGCCACCCTCAGTAGGCAAGGGCATGACCTGGCAGCTCCCTGCAATGGAAACAGAGGTGTCATAAGGCTTCCGATGTTCTCCAAACCCACAGACTGACTCCTAGGCCCTGGGGGGCTGATGCGAGGATGCTCATCTGTTAGCTGGTTGGGGCCAAGGTCTACAGTGGCAATACTGAACTGTAAGCCTAGCTCAGCTTCCCAATCCAGCTCTGTGCTCTTGCCTGGCAGGCTACCAGCACCATGGATTCATCCCTCTGTTGGGACACAGTTACACC